AGGCTACACTCTTCCCCAGACCGTCCGACGATCTAGCTTTCTTAGACTTTCCAAATGCATCTGTAAGCTTAGTCTGTCTTTTCCGTTTTGGTCCGGTTCCACCAAGTGTCGGAAGGGGAAGATGATCGTGCTCCATGTCCGATAGATTGTCGTTAGCATAACGATCCTCAAACAGTGCAGCTAGTGCAGAAGCGTCAGCCATGGAATCGTGCACCGTTTCCAAATGATGGCTGACATGAGGTCTTGGCTCGTCATCTGAATCGTCTGATATGACAACGGAAATTCTTGATGGTGTTTTAGAAGCTGCATCTTGTCGGGGTCGGCCGGCTGGTCTCATGATCCTTTGAGCAACCCCACGCACAGGCGCAGTAGGCTCGGGAGAGGCAGCTGCGTTCGTACGCACCCGGTCTCGCTCGCGTTGCTCAGCCTGCCGTCGCTCCTGTGCTTGACGATCTTGTCGCAACCACGAAGCGGGCAACACTCCCTTAATCTTTCTGCCCACATATCTGATTTCATTGTCGCTTTTCTCCGCTTCACTGGCAGACTCGGCTGCCGAAGATGAGCTGTCCGTTATCACTACCCTGGTCGGTCGACGAAGCTGTCCACCGGACCTCTGCATATTACGTGGGGCCTGCTCGATGTCTGATCCCATCAGGATTTGAGGATCTTCTTGCATGACTGATGAAGTGGAAGGCGTAGGCAAGTTGGGGGCTGGGGTCATTGCACGTAGCGTAGCTGAACGACGAGCTGACATGTTCCCGTTCAATGGCGGACTGCTTGAGTACGGAGGTGAGTTCGGAGGGATGGACCAGATATCGCGTCGCATGTCACGATCTTCGAAGATACTTGTTGGTGCTGCGATAGTCTGAGTGGACGAGATGTTGAGCTTTCTACGCTTGGCTGCATGAGGGTGACGGAGCTGTGTAGACGAAACTCGTCTAGCAGAACTGGAGGCAGGGTGACGAAGATCGTTCCTCGGTCGTGGTAATACAGGTGTAGAGACTGGTATTTCAACATCTGGGGGACTGCTTGTAGGACTTTGATTCGGATCAAACTCTTGCTCCTGGGTTTCATCATTCTGCTGCTTACGATGGCCCTGGGGTGATCGTGACCGCTCCCTTCGCACCGGTCTAAGTCCTCTGCTCTGTACTTCTCTCCGGTACATCTCACCCTCCAACGCATAAGGATGCATCTGAATAGGCTTCCGTTGGCGGAACTCACGTCTTGCCCTGTCGTCGGCAATCTGCCTCTGTAGGGCGGTCGAGGCTGGTATGACTACTTGAACCGCCGTGCGACGATGAGGCGCAGCGAATGCCAGCGGGGGCGACTCCATATCCGTTGGTGGATCTGAGAGATCTGAGGTATCATCATCGGAATTGTCGGACAAGGGAGTAATGCCGAACTCATGAAATAGGGTTGGAACGTGTTTGGGACTTCGTGCATCACCCACCATGGTCGACTGTATGGGAACGGTCGAATTGTCGGAAACAGGAACGGCATGATTGTCGTCCAGCTGAGGTATGGATACGGCAGAGCTTGGCTGAAGTATTGGCGATGCTAGGCGTAGGGATGATGGAGGTGGTACATTCCGTCGAATCTTTGGCGTTTGCGAGCCGAGTAGCGGATCGGGGCTCTCAGTGAGCTCGCGTCTGAAGCTGTGCGTTGACCTGGGCGTGAAGGGAGATGGCGTAGGACGTCTGGGCGGGCTGCGTTTGGTGGGCGTGGTAATAACCGTCTCTTCCTTATCTACCCCTTCGCTACCTTGAGCAGCACAGTTCTTCTCTCTGTCTTCGTATACAGTCGCCTGTTCCTTTTCCGTGGCTTTTTCATGCCGTCCGATCGCGTCGACGCCTTCTTCGACGCGCTCGACGCGTCCACTCAGGCCACCATTCTGCCTGGAACCCTGACTCTCAAGCTGAGACTCGTCTTCTTCCTCATCCGAGTCCTGTACAAAACCTTTCTGTCGCCATTTGGACATTTGGACGCGCCTGCATGTCGTACCGGAGTTCGAGGCTGACGGAGTGAGGTTTTGGGTGATTGTTGAAGGCATGGCGCGTCGTCCCGTGCTCCGCCTAGCGTGTGCCGGGGGCGGAAGAGGGCTGAACTTTTTGCCCGCGGGAGTGCTTTCGTCATACACCCCAAATTCGAGAATCAGCAGTACACACAACGAGCAAACAGAATGGCGGGACGCATCCTTCCAGTCGCGCTGGCGACGATAGTCGGCGTATCGATTGGAGTGGCTACTTTTGATGGCGAGTTTAAAAAACAGCGAATAGCACGATTGGAGGCAGAATACAAACGGTACGCCGGCTCCACATGCGCTTTCTCTTGCTTTCACTTACATTCATACCAGGGAACTCGCTGCTGCTGCCGCTTCCACAAGTACAGCAACTCCGCCACCAGCAGCCCCGGTTGGCAGAGCTTCCACACAGCTACAGACTAAGAAAGAGGATATCGTCACTTCTGCGCCTGCTGATAATTCGTGGTCGAACACGCTCGGACTCTGGGCATGGAAGAAGGACAACAAGACGGAAAGTGCGACTGCGCCTGCGACTAGCAGCGCTGAAAACTCCAAAGGCAAGCCCTGATGGTATTGTAACTGGCATTTAAAGATCAAGTTGACGCTCGAGATCGCTCCACCGCCCCTGCCGCAGCGGATCCAGACGCTTCAGCTCGTCCAACCACGACTTCATGTCCTTTGTTGTAAACGACCCGGTTCCTGCGTCCACCGCTAGGTACGCCTCTGCGAGCCCGAGAAGTGCCTCGTATATCCACTTGCAATCCTCCTCGTCCTCTAATATCTCCCTGATATACTCCATCTCGTGCTCGTAGTACTTTTGTCGCTCGCCGTTGGTCAGATCCTGGACAACAAGCGAACCAGGTGGACATGACGGAGACAATATCGAGAGGAGGTATTGGTGGTAGAACCATATAGACTGGTCGAAAGGATCTGTGTTTATGGCTTCGCATATTAGAGCTAGTTCTGAGTTAAGGAATGCGCGGCGAGCTTGGGCGTCTGCATCGCGCTCGCAGAGCATCTTGGGTATAAGCTGGCTGCGGTTGTGCCAGGCGGAGAAGTTGGAAAGATTGGTCTTGATCATTTTGGTTGTGTACTCGAACTCGGACTCTGTGAGGCTTTTCGGTGTAGTGCCGGTCGTGGGGATGTCTTCAGACGCGGCCAGCCGTTCGATCTGCGACACGACGAATCGTCTATAGCCCCAGGCATGAAAATTGCGGCTGTCCGCGTGTAGCATCTTGTTTATGAGTTGCAGTTCTCCCGACCAAAGCTTATGTGATGCTTCCACGCCCATCAGCGCCTCCCCTTCGCGCAGAAGCCAGTTTCGGTGGTTCCATATCCAATAGCACTTTGGGAATTTCCGTAACAGCGCAAAGGTGAGATGCAGGTCGCCTTGCAAAAGGTCTTCTGGCGATTGCTCAAGAGCATCTGATGTCAAGAGCGCCATCAGGACGCGTCTCCTGTGGTTCCATATCGTGTAATACTCGGGGTTTTCGTTTAGGAGCTTCGTGACAAGGCCCAAGACTTCGATGGTATACTGCTTCTCTGCAACCTGAAGGGCGACTGTCAGCACCGAACGACCCAATCTGACTCTGAATTACATACCTTCGCATTCACCAGATCGGCTAGATCTTTGTAATCCGCAATCTGTTGAAGCTCCTTCTGTCGCGCCTCTTCTGACCGAACTATCGGGCCTGACCCACGCGATATACCGTGCTATACATGTTAGCGAGTGTCGCCGACGTATCCTCATGTCAACATACGCTTGCCATGTGTTCTTGCGCGGTTGACAAGGCTTGGCTGTTGTTTCCTCAGACTGCAGCCTCGGCGGGATGTTGCCCCACTACACGCGTGGAGCCGCTGCCCCTCCGTCATCTCGCGCGGAAGGTTGCCGTCAACACTCGCTGCATCTGTCACCCCTCAATTTGCTGCCAACATCCTAAGACCTTGACCCATCATTGCATTACTAACCTCGCAGCGATAACACCGGGACAGCAGGCAGTACCTCTCGTCCCTTAGCCTTTTTCCTTCGAACGACTTCACATGCGCTGAAACTCACAACTAAGCTCTCCAGTCCACTCATCTTGACGCAAACCGCTCCAACATGAGCGACACTGATGATGAAACATCTCCATCTCAGTCTGGCTATCTCACACCGCCGCTGTCTCCCACCAAGACTGTCTGCACTGAAGATTGGTCGTCACCTAGGACACCCCAGTCTCCTCGCAAAAGTCGCAGCTGTCTCTTCTTTAGTGACAACAACAATAACAGTGACACTACCAGGTCCAGTCTAATCTCGCCATCTTCTCCTAGCAAGTCAAAATTCTTTTCCCGTCTTCAGGCACTGTCTACTCCGGACCTTCGTCCGATCAAGCGTGAAGCTGTACTGGAACAATCAAACGATCAGACTTGTCCAGATCATCGCAGAGTCAACGATTTCAATTCTTCCTTTTTCAATCGCTCTACCACGCTCGCTCACTCAAACGTTCCCTTCGCATCTACTACAGCTGCATTGCCTCTTGATGAGGGGGACCTCGTTCCTCAAGGGGACCTCGTTCCTCAAGGGGAAGCCTGCAACTCCAATCCGCCTCGAAATGTATCCCTTGCAAGAAAATCAAGGCGCACAGATCGCAGCTCTTCAGATAGCCTGGTTAGCATCTTGAGTCGCGGCCCATCTCCTTCGCCAAATCCTATAGACACTGCCACTACATTTGAAAGCTCGAACTTCACACCCCTGCGCTACACTGACGCCTCTTCTGGGGAAACTTCTCGGCCTGCTAAGCTTCGTCAACTACCTCTGCGCTATGCTAGCTCTCCTTTGAGACCCAGTCAATGGGTCGCGCGAGGCGGATTTTTACCATCACCTCGTCCAAACCAGACCAGTACGCCAGATCGCTTCATCGCCAGCCGCCGGCTACCCGCGGTTACTCGAGAAAGCTTCGAGCTCAATAGCCCTGCAGAGCGAAGGGACAAGGAACAAAACATGAACCGCGGTACTCGCAGAGGCTCAGATGCTTTCAGTCGCCGACTGCGCAGAAGTGGTCGCATGAATGAGGAACTACGCGGGCTCAGAGAGGCACATTCCGTGGTTTCAGGGCGTGCCAATGCAAATAGAAGGAATGTCAACTTCAGGCGCAATCCTCTAACCTTGGGCGCTCGCCAGATCAGCGCTGGTGCTGTCTGGAACGTTGGTGGGCCTTCTGCTGTGAGCGACACAGTAGTTGCAGTGTCCACTGGCAGAGGTGGAATGCTCGGTAGTGGAACGAACGCGCCACTGTACAAATCTGCTTTCTTGAACCGAGCAGATCCAGATGCCGAGCTTGAAGCCTATGAACGACGTCTCGCACTAGCACTTGACATTGATCAAACTGATCGCATACTTCAGCACTCATCATCTGCAGCCTCTCCGCGCTCACAAAATAGTGGCCCTGCATCACAGACGAAACATGTCTGGCGAGACGGAGCTTGGCTAAGGGACGGAGTTGATCCGAGTTCGTTTATATTCCTTACGAACGTTTCAGCATTGTGTTGTTGCTGACCACAAGCTCAAGATACCCGTAAAACGCCGCCAAAGCGGAGACCTGTGCCCATTCTACCTTTCAGATATGTCCTTAACCCACCGGGGTTTTTTATACTAATCTGGCCTACAGTCCTTGATGCCCCTAACCTCCGCGACGACTATTACTGTACCTTGCTCGCATATTCTTATACCTCCAAGTGTCTTGCTGTTGGCCTAGGGAACTGTGTCCATCTATGGTCCGAAAGAAGCGGCGTCAGTACGCCAAACTCGCTGAACGCCGTGCCGCCAAATGGACCTTCAGATGTTCAGCATGTTACGTCGTTGGACTTCTCCTCCACAGCAGGTGGGCAAGCAATTCTTGCGGTTGGACGGGCTGACGGTCGTATCTTACTGTGGAGCCCGCTTGACTCGGAACCACGATTCGATGCTACGCAACCCAAGCCTGTATCATGCGTGTCTTGGAGACCGACTGTTGTACAGCGACCTTCACTCCGGGATAGAGCGATGAATGTACCAACCGAAGAATTACTCATCGGAGATGAGGTTAGTCACATCTACTTCTACAGTGTTGAGTGGCCTTCGGAGACACACAGTGCACTCTTCGGCTGGAATGGTGCCATGACATTGCTCGCTCGATTATCCATCCATAGCCAACAGATTTGCGGTTTAGCATGGTCGTCGGACGGCGAGCTTTTTGCAAGTGGAGGGAACGACAACAACTGCAATCTGTTTGAGACAAAGAAGTTACTTCGACCAAACGCTGCTAGCGAGAGTACAGCAGCCATATTGGATGTGCGTGAAGGTCCGCGTGGTGAGTCCATCTACACCGTAACCAACCGCAACAACAACCCCGTCTTGCACCTTGCGCAATCGGCGGCGAAACATACATGGACACTCAATGCAGCTGTGAAAGCCATGGCGTTCTGCCCCTGGCAACGCGGACTTATAGCCGTCGGCGGCGGCTCAAATGATCGCTGCATCCGCTTTTATCACACACGCTCAGGCACTTGTCTTGCTACTATCGACTGTGCAGCTCAAGTCACAAGTCTTATCTGGTCTCAAACTCGCCGTGAAATAGCAGCAACGTTCGGCTTCGCGCAACCCGAACACCCATACCGTGTCGCTGTCTTCGCTTGGCCTGGTTGCGAACAAGTCGTTGCCGTGCCGTGGTACGATGAGAATCGGGCTCTGTGTGCAGTCGCTTACCCCGGCGGCCCATTGAATGGTTCGCACATAGATGGAGACCGCGATGGTGGAAGGGCCAGGGGTGAAGATGGAGTCTGGTCGAGAAGAGGCGCCGAGGAAGGTTGCATCGTCGTTGCAGCCAGCGACATGGCAATTCGGTTCCATGAAATCTGGAGTGACAGACGGGGAAGTGTGGGTTTCGGTACTCTGCTAGGCAGTGAGACTACAGGCTTGTTAGGAGGAAGTAATATTCTTGGGGGCCCCTATGCTGGTGACTTTGAGCGGCCAGGAATGGTAATCAGATAGATATGAGATAGTCCTTGAGGAACGAGTGGGGCAATAGCATAAGGCGAGCAAAATAGCTTCTCAGTCCAGGTATAGCAAGGTCTTGGTTCTGATCCAGAACTGGCTTTGTGTTTGACATGCTACTACCAGGCACTTTTCGCTCATAAGAGAAGAATGCCAGTGGTGTTCTAGTATCGTCACCGTCTTCTAAGGTCTTCCATCACCCCGGTCCCCTCTTTCACTTTTCCCGAGTCTTTCAACGTGCACCTCTCCCAGCCTTAGCCGCACTCTCAGATTTGCGCCTGTATCTTACGCCCTCGGTATCCTCGTTTGCTTATCCTGAACTCTTCTTTCTCTTCTGCCATGTCGCTAGCATCTTTCCACAGTCGTCTCAATGTTGATAAGTTGATCTGGGCTGCCTACTCAGCCTTTGCGCCTCGTTCTGCTTCTGGTCGTTACACAAGTATGTTGTTGACCTCAAGCCATGCGACATCCCTTCACCATCTTCCGCCCCATCTACTTTATTCTCTCAGCAGCGTTTCTCGTTGGCCGTCCTTGCGCGAGAGCGTCCGTCTGTGCTGTCTTTCTCTCCAATTTCTTTTCTTTGCTTACGGCTTTCTTAGCTGAACGCTTTTGCGCGATGGCATTGATCTGAATTGAGCGATGTGCTTTCAGAACCGCAGTGAGAAGGCTTGTTGAGTGTTGTGCGGTAGTCGTAAGATCGGTGTCGGAAAGCAGGGTAGAGAGTTCTAGATGAAGGCCTTGGAGAGCGTGTGTGAGTGCATCTTCCTTGTTCGTCTGTTTTCTAAGGTCTGGACGTTTTCTGTGCGGATCTGGAAGCGGTCTATGACTTAGGATAGGCGCCTTTACTTCTGACTGAGATTGTTCGTTTTGCTCAATCTGTTCCAAAGTTTGTTGTTGGGCAGCGTCTTCGTCCACATCAAGTTCGTTTAGTCTTTGGTGTTGTTGCGCCGACTGTGAGTCTTCTTCGAAAAGATGGGCTGAACTTTTACCCCGATTCTCCAGCACAAAAGCTAGGCCCAGGGAATGTTTACCATTGCTCCCGTACAGGCTGTCACTTTTCGTAGCCTCTTCCCTCTTGTCAGTCTTGTCCGACCAGAATGTTTTTCCTTCGAACAGCCTCTTCGCAGTTCTGAATACCGTGCCACTGACAGGGTAAAGCTTGTTTTCTGTACCCATAGTGGCGTTGACCTGCAGTCGACCGCTTGCGTGACCTATCGTGATTGCGCCCTCCATCAGAGGTTCAGGGGCCAGCATTTGCTCAACGATGGTGCCGGGAATACGCGCAGCGACTGCTGATGTCAACGCAGCAGTCAAGGGAATTGCTCGATGAGGTTGTGTATCAGAGAGAAATCGGAGGACTATATCCATCTGCGATGACTTGAGTGTTTGCCCTGACAACACAGGATGCGAAGACGATTGGGATACGAGACCGATCTTGGGTATGGTACGAGGAACGTCGTCTTCCGTAGGCGCAATACCCATGGCAACGGCAGCGGTCTTACGTATGCTTTCGAGCAATGCAAGCTTCTCTGGGAGTTTATTGAAATCGTTAGGTAGTATCGTGCCATCCACACCGACATCGTCTGCTCGGATGAAGACACATGGGTTTGCACCATCCACGCAAGACACTCTGTAGCCCCCAACTTTGTCTACCCTCCTACCAGTTGGTAGTACTTTGCCGGTCTTGCTACCGTATGGATGTTTGAAGTCCAACTTGATCTTGGAGCCAGATCCGGTCACACCGTCAATTTTGTAGTCGCCTGCCACAGCAGCCTCGGCTCCGATGACCTCGAAGGTGGAATCGATCAGTTTCCCAGTATTCGTGTTCCGTATCTTGACAGTGACCTCTCCATCACCTTGAGCATATATTCTGGCTGGGAGAAGTCCAGCATTGTAAGCATAGGGACCAATCGCACTACTCATGTTTCCACAGTTGCCTGCGATGTCAACTTCGTCATTTTCAATACCCAAGCCAACAAAGGTGTAATCAATGTCCAGATTCTGCTCTTCCTCCACCCCCTGTGCCTCTTCCTGGGTTTGTGCAACCTGCGCACTCTCACGTGCTGCATCAATGCCGCCAAATCCAGTACGGAAACGGGTGCCTCTTTCAGGTAGGGCAATCCTCCTCCCGTAGGGTTCTACAAGGCATATTTTGCTGAGACTCGATATCCCCGCGCCCATGCCATCAAGTTGTCGGCCATAAGGATCGCCACTGCCCATTATCTGGCGGAAGATGGCCGGCCATTTTGCGCGGTGCTTAGGCAGAGCTTGCGGTTGTATGATTACGGCTCGCGACGTGCCTCCGCGGTAATAAGCTGCCTCAATGGGCTTTTGTACCGTGGCGTCTGGTGGAACGACATCATGTCGAGAGACGAAGGAGCGTATGCGGAGGGAGAAGACTGGCGAAGGACGCATAACGCATCATGGCATGGACTTGTCGAGAAGCGTGCCAGAGACGTGCGGCCGACAGATGGCAATGTTCGGAAAGGATCCGACCTCGGGACGGAAAGACTGGACCCTGTTTGAGAGCACAGGCAGCTGCTCCGAATTTTTCTCGAACATCCTCGACATCATCGCATCACACATCGGAATTACACTCTCGCCTTCGTACATAACTTGCATCTCCTGCTTCTCCATATTATACACTACACAATGTTGCAAAGAACTATCCTCCGCGCCTCAAGACAGCAGACTGCCCGCCAAATACGGGCTTTTGCGCCACTACGTCAACAAGCACCCATCACAAGAGCAGTAGCCACACCTGCTATTCGATGGTATTCGGATGCTGCGCCCGCAAAAGAGGGAGAAGCCGCCGAGAAGAAGGAGGATGCGCCCGCACAGAACAACGAGGCAACACAATTGAAGGAGCAGCTGGAGAAGAAGGACAAGGAAGTCGTCGAGCTCAAGGTACGCATATAAGCCAGTTAGATGCACAAAGACAAGGGAATAACAATCGGCTGCAGGACAAATACCTCCGCTCAGTCGCCGACTTCCGCAACCTCCAAGAACGCACAGCACGTGAGATCAAGGCCGCAAAAGACTTCGCCATCCAGCGCTTCGCTCGCGACCTTGTAGAATCTGTCGACAACCTTGACCGCGCCCTGGGTACTGTCCCGGAAGAGAAGCTCAAGGGCGACAACAGCGACCTCATTGCTCTCCACGACGGTATCAAGATGACCGACACCATCCTCATCAACACGCTTAAGAAGCACGGCTTGGAGCGATTCGACCCCAGCGAAGCCGCAGAGAAGTTCGACCCCAACATTCACGAGGCCGTTTTCCAGGCGCCGCAACCCGACAAGGAGGACGGTACTTGCTTCCACACTCAACAGAAGGGTTTCAAGCTCAACGGACGGACACTGCGACCAGCCAAGGTTGGCGTTGTCAAGAACGCCTAAATGCACGATTGAACGAGGCCTGAATGACGTTCCATATACGCGGATAGTGGTGTTCATGACCTATGTCACTGCCGCAACCATTTCATTCGCATGTGTATGACTACTACGGTTCGGCTCTATTGACTGGTTGACACGGCGGTACAATGGAGGTATGGCGTTTTCGTGCTACCCACAAGGTGCACTTTGGTTTTTCATCGGACATTGTACAAATATTCCCCTCTCAGACGCATTTTGGAAAAGTTGAGCAAGCACAATGATGAAATGGCTTTGCATGTATTGTAATATTAGATATGACAGATTACGAGCGAAAGAGCAAACTCAAGAGCAGCAAAGCAGTATCAATGAATTTGCTTCAACTTATTCTTGATAGCAATCTGCACCTTCTTTCTGTGCCCAATGTTAATGCGAAGGATACGATACTACGTTCCATGGCAGTTTTGCAGTCTGTTGACGCCCACCCTTTTAGAACGCCAGCCCATGCAATGTTGTACACCCAGACATGCCCATACTTGTCTACCAGTTCTGTCCGTATGGCGTAGCACCGTACGGCGTAGCACCTCCTTGTGCCGCGCCACCCCAAGAACTCGCGCCGCCGTATCCCGGTGCTCCGACTGGAGTATATCCGCCGGCATCACCATACCCAGCACCGTTCAGTGTTGGGCTCTGCGCACCGCCAAAGTCCTCTGGGCCTCCAATACCGCCGGATAGTTCTTTGATAATCTCGGCGAGCTTTCGTTGTAGGATAGAGATTCCTTGCGTGACAATCTGATCAGGTTCAAGACCACCGACTGTTTCGACGTCGTAGAAGAAACGGGTTGGGACAGCGTCGTAGTTGAAGGGTTCATCTGGGTTAGGGGGACCGCCGTCAAGGTTTATCCGAGCTTCGTCTTTGGGCCTAGTTGCTGTCAGATTGTTCCTGCCCGTAATCGAGTACTCAACAAGGAAAAGAGCACACATACCATTCCTTATCCGCGTCCTCCTCGTGCCAGTAGTCCAAATGATGCAGCTTGTTCGCCGGATCATACTCGAAACCGATGGCCGCACTAGGTGCCCACTTCGCATGCTCCTTTGCAATACCCTTCTTTGCGATGCACTTCATGCTGATCGCTTGGCCTCTCCTCAGTTTGACAATGCAACTACCCGTCTCTTCTGAATCAGTGATGACCGGCTTGCCTACATCCTCATTCGGTGTCCGGGATTCAATCACCAGATCGCGCGCATACACTTTCATAATCTCGCTGCCTGTGCATTTCGCGTTGAGGGTGAGGACAACGGCGCAGTTGTCGCAGTAGCCTTCGCAGTCGCAGTCGCGCGAGTATAGCAGGTCTTCGACACCTTTTGAGCACAAGGGCACGAGGCCGAGACGGTGGCAGACGAACTCGTCGGCAAGAACGGATGTGTTGTCGAAGACTTCTACGACGTCGATGGCAAGGGTGGGAATCTCAGCGAGCATCACACGGCGCAGCGAGTTGGCGGTTTCGAGATTAAAGTTCTGGACGATGAAGTTGGCGCGCTGGCTGTTTGCCTACGCATGGCTGTGTTAGCTCGACGTGTTGCGAGGTAGCCAGAGCAGACGGTGTACCTCGAGGAAGCGGACGTTTATTGCGCCGCCATCTGGGTCGTAGTCCATCGCGTCGTCGTTTCAGGGAGGTGAGAGCTGGGTGCTTGCGGCGTGGGAGATGGAGCCGAGGTAGCAAGGCGATTAGATTGTGAGGCGGAGAGAGACGTGTTGACGTGTATGGCGTGTGCTGGCTAGGGACGTCGCCGTGATGGAGATTCTTTGAGGTGAGTCTGGAGCCAACGTAGCCTAGCGCCGGGATGCATGCGCCACACCTACGCCACACTTCCAGAGCTGTTCCACTGTCATGCCTTTGTGGTCATCGTCATGCAGGTCAACAATCGGCGAAATTGCACCGCATCCGCAATGATACGCAAATTCATCTCCTTCTGAATCAAGTTTACCGAGCGGCAATGTTCTTACAACTTGTTTGCGTGCGTCTACTCAATACCTAGGTATGTCATGGCCTGGCACAAACCAAGCTGCTACAACATGAGCTATAGGTTTGGATGTGCCGGATGTTTGTGCAAAACAAAGGACGTATGAAGCAAGTACATGCTCTCAGAGCCCGCGGGTGTGTCCGGCATGCGCGGAGCGTGAGACAGTCACGAGACAAGACGTGACCTTCGATCAGCCTTGCTCCTAAGCACATGAGAAACTCTTGTAGGATGATGTACTTCAAGACTACTTGCAGCGTGACGACAAGACCAAGACGTGAGGGTGTTATCGGCCGACAAAGGTCTCGGGTGCAAAGCGCCTATGGCTGTGCTGCAAAGTGAGCTGACTGACTTGACAGTTGTCCTCGTCGTATCGTCGCATGCATATGGCAGATGGGGATTGACGAGTCTGCCGCCGAGTGATGACCTATGAAATGCCCAGTCGGACAAGATAACGGCCCTGATAGTATTGTGTGCATGCTGTGTAGTCCTAACATGGATAAGCCGGACACTAACAGTCGACTCGGTGCTTGAGTAGCCTGCAAACTATCTTCTGTGGAACCAGCGAGACACTGATGGATGTTTCTTTCGTCGACATGAGGCTGAGTTGAGGGCGACTAAGCATCAGCGAGGCTGAGGGCCTCTCCTTTTCTCTGCGTGTTGTGCTATCGTCAGTTGAATCCGTCATTGACGCGTCCGCCGAGGTCGGGAGACCTCTAACAGCACAGTGCGTTGGGAAGCAACATGGCGGGGCAGTGCAATAACGCCCAGGAAATGGCGCGAAAGAAGCAGAACATGGGACGTGGACGCGGGAAATGTCATGGCCGAAGTTCTGGCCTTGGCGGATTGAGGCGGAGCAACAGTGTGCTTGCATGCGGAAGCTGGAACCACCAACCACCGCGAAGGCGAACTTTGATATAAGACACACGCATTTAAGACATTGCACTTCAACTCATCACAGCAACTCATCCACACCAGACGCCTAAGACTCTTTGCGCAACACAAATGATCGCAAACATGCAAGCTACTCTGCCATCACCACAGCGCTCGCGCGCATCATCGGGCAGCAAGTCGCCACTTTCTCTCGACTTCTCAGACCTGCCACCACTGGTCGAGCCATCACCACCCTCAAACACACTCATCATAACCGTAAGCGTTGCACTCGTCAACTTCAGCGGCAGCATCTAACAGTATCCAGAACCTTCTTGCTCCCGAAATCTTCCAACTATCAACCCTTACCGAGATCCGCGAAACCATCGACCAACATGCAAAAGTACACACATGGGCGCCGCTCAAGTCCTTCCGTCGCATCGTGGTATCCTTCTTCGACATTGACTCTGCGATACAAGTTCGACAAGCCCTCGATGGCGAGCAGCTCATGGGCTATCGCATCCGCGTATATTTCGGTGTAAACACACCCATGAACCCCTCAGACCAGCACCTCGCCCTACCCAAGTCAGACCGCCTATTTTTCATCTCGCCGCCACCTTCACCACCGATGGGTTGGGAAATGAAGGAAGAGGATGCGCCCAACAAGATTGTGCACCCTGAAGACCTCGCAGCAGCGCTGGCGCGGTTGCATGCAAATCACGAGGCGACTTCACCCGAGACCGATCACGGAGGTGCTCCCATTACAAGGAGGCGGACCGGCAGCACGACTGTAGTTTACCACCCCGAAGACCACGGCGATTCACCGAACCTTCCAGCTATATCAGTTGAAGACACAACAGAGACACCTGAGCCTTTGACCCCCATCGATGCGATGGAAGGGATTGAGGGACCGATCGCGTCGCAGAAGGCACAGGGCATGACAGTCAGCACCGCGAGGCCGCCGGTCGAGCTCATGCAATAGACAGTTTAGTGGTCTCGCGTATCATTTCTTTCCTTGTGTTTTCAAAAAAGGCTTCTTGTGTCCATAATGATATGGCGAATGCATAGTTCTGGCGTTGGTGGCTTGCTGATTTGAGGACGGCTCTGCAAGCTAGGGAATGCGAGCATTTGGGTTTGAGAATACCTGAGCAAGACTTTAGCCGCAACGAGTCTAATGGTCAGGGAATGGCACGGCATGGAATGATATCCCTCTTGAATAGCATAAACACGTTAAATTTTGCACATCCAATTGCTTCACGTGCTCCGAAAATCTGGTGAATATGTATACGCAATGTAAGCTCCGCGCTGCTGGGCTCGAAACGCTGCTGAATGATGCGATCTGCGAAGACGAAGGCGATAGACGCACTTTTGTACGAACCAACGCCCAAGTCTCAATCGTGCTCCTCACGGTGAAATGCTCGTGTGCCTGCGCAGATTGGATCCGGACTTCTTGCTGCAGAATGAACCTAACGATTCAGCAGGATATAGATCATGATGCCACTAGAACGCGAGTCATGCCCCAGGCCTCGACAATTCCCCTCAAGTTTGTGGATCGCGACTGCCGTACCTGGAAGTCGCGCTAGCACGTGATGATGCCAAACCCGATTAGCGCGCACTGGCATTAAGCGAACCGCATTCCAAAATGAATTTCGACCCGACGACCCTTCAACACCACGACAATCTACTAACGTTGCAGCTTCCACACGCCGTCGAGACGCCGCAGTCAAGATGAAGCTCAACATCTCCTACCCCAACAATGGAACCCAGAAGTTGATCGAGGTCGACGATGAGCGCAAGCTCCGCGTCTTCATGGACCGCCGCATGGGTCAAGAAGTCCCTGCCGACAGCATTGGCGACGAGTTCAAGGGCTACATCGTCAGGATCACCGGCGGTAACGACAAGCAAGGTTTCCCGATGAAGCAGGGTGTCATGCACCCAACTCGTGTCCGCCTCCTCCTCGCTGATGGCCACTCCTGCTACCGCCCCCGCCGCACTGGTGAGCGCAAGAGGAAGTCCGTCCGTGGATGCATTGTCGGCATGGACCTCTCTGTCCTTGCTCTCAGCATCGTCAAGAAGGGTGACGAGGACATTCCCGGCCTGACCGACATTGTCCACCCCAAGCGCCTCGGTCCCAAGCGTGCCACCAAGATCCGCCGCTTCTTCGGTCTCAGCAAGGAAGATGATGTGAGTTACCTCATAGCTTCTTCGCCAATCCTGCTTCGCATAGCGGATTGAGTCTCGCTCGTCCTGCTACAAGCAGCGTATTGAGTCTGAGCAACAAGAAGTGAGCTAGTAAAGTTTCAAGGTTTGAAGACTAATCATTGCATGTGTAGGTCCGCAAGTTCGTCATCCGCCGTGAGGTCCAGCCCAAGAAGGAGGGCGCCAAGCCCTACACCAAGGCCCCCAAGATCCAGCGTCTTGTTACTCCTCAGCGTCTCCAGCACAAGCGTCACAGGCTGGCACTCAAGCGCCGTCGCGCGGAGGCTTCCAAGGATGCTGCCGTACGTCCATACCCTACTATGACGTTCAGAACAACTACTAATGCCAATACAGAACGAGTACGCTCAGATCCTTTCCAAGCGCATCAACGACGCCAAGGCCGCACACGACGAGGCCCGCAAGAGGAGGGCGTCTTCCATGAAGCACTAGAGAGTTATCATGAATTCATGATTGGGTCGTGGAATGATTACATTGGCGTCGGCACGAAAATAACGGTGTGGGCTCCTGTATCTGAATGAAAACTTCGGGCATTCTAGGGAATAGGCGCTTCTCATACCACTGACTGCTTAAGGCAGTTGTCTCAATAAACAATTGCATCACTTCACCACCGCTCCACAATCTTGCCGTATCCGACAGGCATTCCACTCGAACACTTCCAGATCTTGTTTGGCTACGAAAATCTGATTGGCAAACATGTCTCTTATGTCCCTCTCCATCGCGTTGGTCATGGCTAATTGACCATGTATATTTGCCTCACACTTTGTGTCTTTCGTATTCGCCTCCATTTGCATTACATTAAAGCGAACGTCGGACCTTTCTTCAAGTACTGAATTTTGGTTGCAAATAATACTCTTGGCCCCTCAGCCCTTGCATACAGCTGTTGCCACCCTACCAAGCTTCTCCCTACTTTCGTCGTCGCATACGTGTTGTACTGATCGAATCCTCTCAGTGCGCCTCGCACTATCTACAATACACCGCAGGCTTTTGCTGCCCTACGCGTTGTGGGTCGCTTTATCAAGAGTACTTGAAGGAAAAACCAATGGCTAAAATGGTCGTCTTCTTCTATGTGCAGTGTCCTTTGAAGGAGCTTGTTCAAACTTGTGGCATATGCGACGAAGCAATCATGATCACATGTGCATGTAATCATTCCGTTTCGCGATCGATCATAGTCTTTTGCTATACCAAGACAGTGAGCCGCACCCTTCTATTTGTCTCCAATGGCTTCTGTAGATGCAGGCGAGAGAAAGAACCCGACACCCTCTCATCTTCACCATTGATATTCGCAACACTTTATCGAAGCAGCCAGCGACGTCCTCGTCGCTCCGAGCAAGATGAAGGGTCTTGGGCAAATGAATACAAAAGACAAGGACGATGCCATCATCAGTGAACTGTCCCCGAGACCAGACAGAAATCTCTCTTTAATGCCTACACTTCCGAGCTGATTTCCCGCCAGATTTTCCAGTAAAACACCTTTAGGGCGAACGATAAATACAAGGGGTACATGCTTTGGGTGGCGATACAATCACTTGTGGTCAAAGTCGAGAGCCAGATGCACAAACCCTTAGAAAATTGAATACCTGATAGAGAAAAACGCATGGGTCCAGTTACGGTCATCTTGGTAGATAAATGCAAGGCGATAAATGATTACAAGGAGAAAGGAGCAGAGATTAAGCAGGTATTCGTACATCATCGTTCGAATCTGACAACGTGGGGTTGGTGCTCGAAAAAGTCTGCGCAGTATGAGATACGAGGCAGGGGAGCAATCCCGAGGATTTGAAAGGGCGTGATTCAAGCCTTTCGAAGGCATGAAGCTGAGATCGCCAAGATGAGACATCAAGCTACTTTGCGCAAAGCATATAAAATCCCAGTGCGGCTTATGCCTCTGAGGCCAGTGTCTTATTGCATTCTAGTAAAGCTATTTAATCATTCTAACCAAACAAGACAGCGCTAGATGACCTCAATCAACGCATTCAACACGCCTCAAATACTAAAGAGAATCATCCTGTTACTCCCGATAGCTCTTCAACACACTGGAGAGCTTCTGGCGTCTAAGCCGATACCTGCTCGTCGAGATCTCGAGGAATAAACTGGATGTAAGGGCCATGCTTCTCGCTCGTGAAGTGTCCTTTGATCTCGAAGTTCACAGCTCCCTTTGCACCACTCCGCGTCTCCCCAATCGTACCCATTGGGCCTTCAGCACGCTTCCAATCCGCTCGGAACATTATCTGAGCCAGGGCTGTGGTAAGCTCCATATAAGCAATATTTTTACCCAGACAACCCCGAGATCCCAACGAAAAAGGGATAAATGCTCTCTTCGCCAACTTGAGCGCCTCCTCGCTCTGGTTGTCCGGCAGCCATCGTTCAGGGATAAACTCGTCGGGATCTGGGAAGTAGGCAGGATTGCGCTGAATGGCGTAGCAGCAAGTTGCAACATCCACCCCCGTTGGAAGGACGTTCCCAGCTATCGACTCTTGCATCCTCATCTCCCTCCACAGCGGGGCGGCTACTGGAGGCGCAAGCCGTAGTGCTTCGTCAATGCAAGCCAGAAGGTAGGAGCAGCTTGTCAATCTTGGGCCCGGTGCGATTTCCTCAAGGCTCGAGAAGGTCGATCGGATTTCAGCGGCCAATCGCTTGTAAACTTCTGGATGACGTGCGATGTAGAAGAAAAAACCAGAGATGGCAACAGAAGATGTATCGGTACCTGTAACTATTAGAATGACGAAGCACAGAGAGCACGGTAAAGTTGGTTCATCTTACCTGCAATTACCATGACTAATGCATCAGCCATGAGCTCCTCGTTAGTAAGTCCTGAGCCTTCTTTGCCTTGTTGCCCAATCAAGTCTCCGAAAATATCGTCCACGTGCTGCTTCTTCTCTAGTTCTATTCTGCCCATTACAAGTGGCCAGATCCGTTCTCCAAGATTCAAGATCTTCTTGGTGAGTCTTGGTGCAAGGTAAGTTCTGAGGTTCCGATAATCGACTAGTCGTGGTTGTATTACTTCCATACCAGCCATCAACATGCAGTTGTCGATTGTTTCAAGGATAGGTCGAGCGTGTGTTTCGGTCATCATATTTTGTGGACTGTAGAAGACGATGTTCGACATGATATCGAAGGTGAAGTAGGAGCCTGTCAATGTTAGTGCTATGATCCTCACCGGGCTTTTCGACATACTTATGTGGCCGATGTTCAACCCAGGACCCCAAGATCTTGCTTTCTCGCTAGATTCAGGGCTCGCTAGGAGAGTGTCGCCGAAGACTTTGGCTGTTCTGTAGATCACTGGCTCGTATTTTTTCAAGGCAACAGTAGAGAAAGCTCGGCTCAACATCTTCCTCCTTGGCGCATGTTCCTCTCGATCGAGCGCGTTGATGATGCTAACTTCAGGCTTGCCATTTCTGAAGCCTATATATCCTCGTGCCTTCTGTGTCTTGGAGGGATGCATATATATGTCTATGATGATTAGATGCATCCAACCTTAGCTTTGCTCAATGATATACCTTGTAGTCCTTCGACAGTGTTGACAATAAGACCGTTCGGCTTGTAGCGTACCACATCGCCTACTGCACGTCAACATTCCTGACATCTCATTGCAGGATCTGTGTCTTACCATACTTCTCATGACATCTCTGGACGTCCAGATGGATGTTCCCAGTGTACGACTGGTATGCTCCATACCAAGACGTGCATCTTGCTAGAAAGGGTCCAGGGTACTTGGCTAATGGGTGGAAGTAAAGCCGATAAACGACCTGCAAAATCTACAAATATATCAGTTGACATTCGACTAAGGTACTGGGGCAGCCTACAATTATGAAAGTGACAGTGCAGGAAGAGTAGAAGGCGATGTCGATGGCAGTCATGATTGTTTGATCCCAATGGACGTATATGAATTGTGAGTGATTGATGTCAAACTGTGGAGGTGGACATCACCTTATAAGTGAACCAACACTCCCATATACCCATTGCTGCGGTATTCGGAGAACTTGGCGTTGTTACGTAGACCATAATATCTACCAGGATCTTAGACTGGAGATCGTCTCGTACGAAGCGGATACGCATGATTGTGGATTTGTGTCGGATTTTTGACAAGGTAGATGAACGGCGGTAAGGTTTCAGTCGGGCTGCGGTCCTGCCGCCGTACTGCACTTTCTACGGCCGTAAGTCATTCCATCACAACAGTCGCAGTATGGACACACGACCCACTATAAACTCACCCCGCCTAAAGGCATACGTCATGAATCTCCTGCATCCTACTCCTATTGACTTTTGAGTTCGTTCCGAACAGTGAGGTTTTGGCGTCCAAGAGAGTTTGGTTTGGTTAATGTTTGTTAGGGAAGCACAACAGCGCGTTGAGAAACATTGTGGCGGAAGTGTATACTTCTCTTTGGGTTTCAAAGATTCGTACAGGCACAAATAAATCGTATATATATCGGCTGAAGTATCGAACCGTGGTCTATGATTTCGCGCCGCAAAATGCTGTCAGCGCCAAACGCCCGCCCATGTGGTATCATTCGTCTTGTCGCGTACCCCAAGATTGTATCAAACACATGCGTATCTATGCTGAGCCTCTTTTGCCTACTCAAGCTTCTTCAGTTGCCGGTAGACCTTCTTATGTTGCTCCAAAAACAAGAACGTGAGCACGGTGTGGGGTCCAACACGGATGAAGCTCGGTACCCAGCCCTTGAACATCCAACGGAATCCTTCTGCTCTCATAGTATCTGAAACAGTCTTTATGAGCCCAACGTTCTCGCTAGAGCTCATGACTTTCGTCTTGATGACATCTACCGGCGAGCATATCGTCGTAGCTACGAATCCTGCCAAGAACGATGCAGTGAAGTGTGTTGCGAGGTTGTCTTGCAGCGGCGTGTAATTCAGCAACACGCGCTTAAATCCATCGTATGTTGCTAGTTGACCCACAGTCATGAGCACAGCTCTTGACGAGTTGGGCCAGACGCCTTTCCACAGACTTGCTACTCCTTCTTCCCGCGACATTCGTATTATCCCGTCGATCGCATTCTTGTATCCTCGTCGCTTCTCTCTCGGTAATGCTGCATCATGTTGCATCCGTACATTCAGAATGTCTCCTGGGTTACCGGCGAAGCCTCCGAGAAAGCCTGATATAGAGGCCATGCCGACGAGTGTCAGGAACGAGGGTTTCGAGTCAGCGGTCGTCATGCGGTCTTTAAGGGCTTCGTAGACACCGAAGCGTGTCATGCTGTAGGTTCCTTGGCGAAGTTGGGCTGCGGATATCTGGTGTCGCATTAGCTGGAAACATGTGAAAAAAGACCCAAGACCACGTACGCCTTTGTACAGCCCCAGTGCCCCATCAGTCTTTATGACATGACCAAACATTTGCATCATGTTTAATCGTACGCCAGATGTCGCTTGTGTTTGTAACCGGACCTGAACGAGTGAGTATGTACGAATTGGCGCACGCGACAGCTGAAGAGGCTACCTTGACTGTTCAGACTATTAGCCAAATGTGCAATGTTGCGTGCATAGCTGTGGGAGACTTACCAAGATCCAGCGGATGCGTAAAGAAAGTCGCAAAACAACTTGCGCTTCCACCAAACCAGAACGGATAATGTACCGGCGTCTTCTTGATAGGCTTCACATCCTCGCTCTTCCGCAGTTCAGCCACGCTCACTTTCTTAGTGACGTCCGCCATTTTCAAGGTGAAGGCTGCGCAGCGACAGCATGTGTAGTCTGCAGGGGCAGGGAAGCTGTCGCCTTAAAAGTCAGGAAGCTTGTGAAGCGTCGGTGGTAGTTGAGAGACCGAGAATTCGGCACGCGGACGTCATCGGCAAAACGTGCTGCCTCCGGATTTAAGCTCGGAGCTGGTGGGCAGGGCTTGGCGTCGCGTGCGGTTTTGTGGACGCCACGGTAAAGAGCGAACATCACCATCAAAGATGCGGATACCCCTTTCCTCTACGGCTCTTTGCCGTCAATTATGCTGGAATGCCTCGCTGCGCATACCACGAAGCTCAGTGTCGCCTTGGCCGTCGCGTCATGCGGCGAGGCACAATTCTTCCGGTGAGTTTGTCATCATGTGATGCGGCTCCTAGCTTTCTGTACCGAATCAATCATAGTCACACCCATCGATACAAGATCCGGGATCTGTCGTATCAAAGATACCACTACCTTTATTCAGCTTGGTCGTCGTGCTTAGCTTGTATTCGAACGATGAACCGTATAGCATCTAAGTATGAACAGGAGCATTCCCAAAAGAGATCAAAATAGAAGGTCGGACATACCAAACTGACGAATGGATGAATACCCCTTCAACAATCCTTGACGCGGTAACAAGACGCCTGCATCTGCAACCAGATCACCCTTTGACCATCACACGGAAACTCATCGAGTCCCGGTTTCCAGGTTACAAGACTCATAATGACCTCTTTCCTATCGTCACAACTGGACAAAATTTCGACTCGCTTGGCTTCCCATTAGACCACATAGGTCGTAGTAGGACGGATACATACTACCTAAACAAGAACACTGTGCTACGAACACATACTTCAGCGCATCAAGCCGACACATTCCGCAACAACGAGAGCGAGGGGTACCTCATCAGTGCCGATGTATACCGAAGAGATGCGATTGACAGAAGTCATTATCCCGTGTTCCATCAGATGGAGGGAGCGCGAACTTGGGATCGCCAACAAGCAGAAAGAGAAGGCAAGACACTGGCGCAAGTCATCTGGGATGATGTGGAGAAGATTCCTAAGCACAATGTTGCAGTTGAAGATCCAAATCCTCCTTTTCATGCTGAGCGCAACCCACTTCAAACAGGTCACTCAGCAGAAGAGGCCGAAGCCATGGCAGCACATCTTAAACGCAGTCTCGAAGATATGGTAGTTACGGTTTTCAATGCTGCAAAGAGTGCTACAGATACGGAATCACCAAATGAGCCACTGAAGGTACGATGGGTAGAAGCCTACTTCCCCTTCACCTCGCCCTCGTGGGAACTCGAGGTCTTTTGGCAAGGCGATTGGCTCGAAGTCCTCGGTTGTGGCATCGTCTCACAACCCATCTTGAACAACGCCTCGGTCCCTACACGCATAGGCTGGGCTTTCGGTATAGGTCTGGAACGCATCGCTATGTTGCTCTACTCTATCCCAGACATACGCCTGTTCTGGTCAAAGGACAATCGGTTCTTATCGCAATTTAGTGAGCAGAAAACCATGTGCCGCTTCGTGCCCTTCAGCAAACACCCTGCATGTTTCAAGGATGTAAGCTTCTGGTTGAGAAGTAGTTCTAACGCTGCTGGTGGAGCCGTAGCGGTTCATCCACCTGCAGGAGGCATGTCAAACAACACGCCCACAACATCATCCGGTGCACCAATTCCACCAGCGGCTCCCGCGCCATCATCCTCCAGTTTCCATGAAAATGATGTGATGGAAATCGCGCGAGAGGTCTGCGGTGATCTAGTGGAAGATGTGCGTCTCACGGATGAATTCGTGCATCCCAAGACTGGACGCAAGAGCTTGTGCTATCGCATCAACTACCGCAGCCTGGAACGCACACTCACGAATGAAGAGACTAATGAGCTGCACGAGCGGCTGAGGGGCTTGCTTGTGGAGAGGCTGGGCATTGAACTAAGATAGCGTCGGTCGCGGAGGACTGTTACGGGGCATACGGTACGAGTTTGAGATGTACTGATCGGGAAGGCGGAGCTGGTGGAAATCCTTTTTGGTGTTGGAAAACGGTGCGGGAAGGAGCTCGCCGATATGGAAAAAGTAAGGATAGGAGAGGGTGTGAAGGCAGCACGGCCACGTGAAAGGTAGGGATGGCGACCATGGGATTCTACGATCTCGATCGCAATATGGAGTTTCCAGCGGAGTGAGTGTACGTGTGTGGTAAAGGGCGGAGACGAAGGGAACGGACGACTGCCGGATGTGTAGGTGTGTGTGCAGGAGAAGGGAACTAATGTCGGCTATCGACCCTTTCCCTCCTCACGGCGATGTCCACTGCATGAAGTGGTACTTTGTGGCAAAACTATGCACGACGTTCACATCCTCGGGACCCTAGCCACGATATCATCTGCCGTGCTGAATGCCCGACATGCAGAGCGAAGGAGCGGGCAACGGTTGCATGCTTGCGTCTTCTTGCTCGTATCTCGTAAACCTCGCAATGTACAATAGATGTGTAGAAACATGTCACCCCAGCGCAACTCTACTATAACGATATCTATTATTACATCTTGACAACTGGTACTCGGTACCGTTGGGTCCCATACTTGGTGCCTCCTTTCTGCATCACCGTTCTCTCTGGGTGTCCGCCTTATGCACGGCACCCCGCATACTCCGGTTAAGAAGGGAAAAAGCAGGGCACGCAAGTACCGTGCAGGAAAATCCTGTTTCCACACATAGCTAAGGCATCTTTTTGCGCATGAACGTTTGACAACACTACACTACGCTTGATCTTGGTGATGGGGCAAAAATAGTACCATGTCAGCAAATGCGTGTCTCATGAGGTGCTCGCCCAATATGCGGGAAGCAATATGGTTTGCACACATCAAGTTCAATGTATCTGCAGGCTGCAAGCTGGTGGGGCACAAGGACCCTGTTCAATCCTTCAATCCAGAAAGACCAGATTCGACACGGGATGCGCCGTTCAAACCTACACACATGCACACACAATCCGTCACCTGCAGTTAGTTGCGGGATTTCGAGTACCAAACCCTAATTGCCACGGCGCCAGCGGCTTGCTTACTTCCCTGGAAACGAACACATCGCTAGCTAAACTAGCTCAACGATCTGAAGACGACATCTTGTCTTTTTGCATCTAAGTTTGGCGCAGGTTTGGTGTAAGTTTAGTTTGCTGACCAGCGACACTCCTAAATTCCGAATTCCGAAGCTAGAAGATGCGCGGGATAGAGCTTCTAGCTGCCGTTCCAAGGTGCTAGGAGGATACTCCGGAGAAAGAAAAAAGGGCCGTACGAGTCTTAAAATGGCGGGCTTTTTGGCGTCTTAGGGGTTTCTTGCTTGTGTAGGGGAAAGTGTGGCGGGTGCTTGCGCAATTTTGCTGTTGCTTTTGCGCCTCAGGCTTCCACGCGTCTTCGAGAAGCTGTTTCTCGTAAGCTTGCCTGTGCTTTAGTATGCCAAGCGGCTTTAAGCTCTACTTTGCTTTGTACATCGTCGATTTCGTGAATCTCCTTTCTTGCTGTGTGGCCACCTATGCTCCGCTCGGAATCATATTCTTTGTGTCAGATCAGCCTCCAAGAGACGTGGATACGTGTTGACAGTGTTGTGGGCCCACATTTGCAAATTCCGCACGCTATACGAGGTGTTCACATCCCTATACCATGACGATGAGTGTCTCCAATGATATGGTACTGCATGACAATGCCTATTCCAAGTGACCTACCGCCGAACTTACTCAGAGCGGCGTTTTGCATCTGCTGTACAATGTAGCATAGCCGAGCGGCTGCTAAGGGAGGTCGACGATCAAGCTGTGATCGCGATCTATATCGTAATTCACCACCAGGAGATGTCTCATACATGGGTGATCGTAGTTGAGGCGTATACTGACATGGATTCCCCGCGAAAACCGAAAGTGCCGAAAAGAATGGCTCACACAAAGTAAGGCGATGTCGTTAATGGAGAACCACCAACGGGATGTATGTTGTTGAATACTGAGCGACAGTAAGGGGTCGATATTTGTTTTTCTAAGTCAGAAGTGTAGACTCTGGATTTGTGATTGATGCGAGGCAACGATCCGTTGTAAGCATGCAAACCCTATGGGATTTTGAGCATCAGTACGAGAGTCAAGCTTTTCAGTCTGGCTCTACTTGCCAGTCATGTTACCCTAACGTCTTTTATCGTATCACTCGGCGTCACAATGATTTTCCGTGAAAGATGCCGGAAATAAAATCAAGTCATTACCCGAGGTACTGATCAATCCATTTGTCTGGCTCTGATATAGCAAGAACATTCTCCAAGCCGAGCATGTTCGGTGTCTTTGTGTGGCTGTTGAGTGTATGATTTGAGTGGGGCCATATGTGCATTAAGCTCGCGTCATGACAGAAGCGACATTTGAACACAGACGTTTTTTGCTTGGAATCGCGAAATGCCCAAATTACTCAAGGTGTACGTCGGAGATGATGGTAATGAAGATCCGCAGTAGCAATGCGGTCGCGATTACTACAATGATGTGCCGTGTATGTTCAACTCGTATCTCGGTTACGGTACAACTCGCGGCGGGTTTGGTCATGGAATGACTCGAAAAGACAAGTCAATGGGTTCGGCGCAATATCGCAAGGCTATGACGGACAGTCTCCGTATGATGTTTGATCGGAGACAGGCCTTGTGTTTTTCCTTGGTGATCAAGCGACGCGTGCCGACACCCGCGCCTTAGATGATGGAGTGGCGCGCTCTCGAAACAATCGGAACCGGCACACGTTCACCAAAACAAACACACAAGTTGTCGACTTGACCCAGCAATCCTAACGAAGGATTTAATGTTCGTATGCACGTCGATGTGAATTGATGTAAATCCATCTACTTTCGATCAACTAGTGCTGTTGCGCGAGGTGACCTAGCCGTCATGGACCAACTGTTGCTGCATGGTGAGCATCGTTCGTTGCCTGCGAACCGACCGAATGTGACCAGACGCAGTCCCCACTCAGAACAGTTAAGAGCCACACTAGGATAAGCCAAGACGACCCCTTTCAGGAAAGGTGGTCCAGGCAAAAGTCTGAGCAGCAAGATGAACCGCACACAGAAGTTGCTTTTGATAAGGAACAGGAAAGAACGTAACCGCATGTGGTGCAAAATCGGATGATAATGACTCTGTGAAAAAGTTGGTGGCCCTCATGCAGCAATTCCTTGCTGACACTGGCCCGTTCACTGCATCGCTTGGCGTGAAGTCGGAAAGCACTTGCATGCGAGCGGAGCGGGAAGCCGAAATTGAGTAGCGCAGCGTACCCAGTCATAGTTACATGCATATTGACATGATGAAGCTTTGTCGTTGAAGACAGCAACGTCGCTATCATCTCGACCAGATGTCAAAGACGGTGGGCACATATGTCTTTGCATGATGTTTCGTGGGGGTCTAACGCTCGGCTACGGCATGTGATGACCAGCCACCGCACGGATAGTAGAGTGAAACGGCGTACCAGACTCGGGAGAAAGAGGCAGATGCGGATTGACGCAAGTCGTATCCAGAAGTTGGAACTCTAGAGCGGCCCACGGCAGACAGCGATCGCAGCAGAAGGCGCAAGGCGGGTCTTTCAGATTCGCGCTCGTGATCGCGTCGGCGTCGGCGTCGGCATGGCAGAAGCAAGTCAACACGCAGTTCGCGTCTAGGAATGGAAGAGCTAGGCATGCACGAGTATAGTGCAAAGTTTAAAGATGGAGAGACAGCGTCGAGGGCCCACGGGCAGCTTGGACCTCTCTTGATCCCACGCAACCGTCGAGGGTAGTTGGCAAGTGAATATGTAGCGAATGAGTTAGTAACAGTGCGGTATTAACACGAGGCACGTTCGCCATACGAGACTCTGCTATGTTTTCCTCACACTAACTGAATTTTTTTGGGCAGCTGTCGCATACGCTTAAGCGACGGATGACGGCTATAAGCCTATAAGACTGGACCTCGCCTATAACTGCTGCGTGGGACATGGTGGCTCTATTTGCCCGACTCTCTTTGGGATGACGGTGGAAGTGATCGGAGGGGAACGACGGCTAGACGTGATCGTCTTCGTCTCGAGTGTTCGCTAGGAGGGCGCCCAAACCTGAGTGTCAACAGGGGAAGCAGTGTCGGTGGAATATGCCGTCTTTCTCACGATATTTGGCCGCTCGTATGAGCTGAAGGTTGAGTGCTAGTAGTGGAGCAGATGCTCATACCAGTGTTAAAGGGTCGCACCAACGCATGCGATAAGCTTTGAGCGTCATCGTCTAGAAAAGCTCGTAGTATTTACGACTCGCGGCGGCTGCTGCTGTGCCGTGATGACCCTGTTTCCGGCCCAGGGTTGCCACGAGGCCGCTTCCGCAACCAATGACTAACCCCTGCTAGTTCTAAACGTTCGCTTCGCACCTGCCTTGTTCCTGAGGCGCACCTTCCTCGCTCCTGCCCCGAACTCACCAACGTTCTCGCGGCATGGCGGAGAGGCGCGCACCGTCTGCACAACCTCACCGAACTACCATCGAGTCAATTGCACTACGACAGCACAGGGCACATGTTTTCTTCTCAACAACACGTCCTTCACAAGCGCGCATCACCTCCTCACCAGTAGCCAGGGCCATTATTCAATCGCCAGCGGCCCTCTGCTGCCTCTCCCTGCTGCCCACCTGGTGGGCCGGCTTTCCTACCGCTTTGGTGCAAATCACCGGCATTGATAAACCACCTGGCAATTGAGCAGCCGGTCCGTAAGAGTAACGATAGATGATGATGGCCGATATGCTGCATCAGGTCCGCTTTACATTGCGCTAGACGCGAGCACCTGATGCTTCACACCAGCTCTGCTACTCGCCTCCGCACTATCCTGCAGATCGACATGTTGCAACCAAAAGGCACCATCCGTCGCGACCATGCGCTGTGCTCGATGCTAAGGGTGGTGCCGCTGCGCACATCGTGCAGATCACCCTAGGCATTAATTGCGTGACGATATAGCCTACCCCACGAATCGCCAGACATGCGAGGTTAGGCCCGCGTTTCATCCAGCTCCCACCAACCCCATCTAGGACGCGCCCCGACAGCCTAGATAGTTTTGCTGTTATTGGTACTTTGCCTTTGCAGGGGCTCTCCTCGTTGCTGCAGGTATCAACACTAGTGCCTGTGAGCCACACTTAACCCGCTGCAGTGTCTTTTTTACCACATACATGCAGGGAAAGCCTTCATGTTTGACGTGCCCGCCTCCCGAGTCTCACCAACCTTGTACTTCAGACAGTGAGCCACGGCAACCTCAAACGTCCGTCATGGCACACATTGCCAATTGCATGCGCTCCGATTCCGACAAGTCTTCTGTTTATATAACTCTAGAAACGTCCTCCAGGATGGTAAGCCACTCAGCTCCACTCTCCATTGCAATGAACTATCATTTGCCCCGACGTTCACGCTCACTCAGAGATATTCAGGCTGCCAGAGATTCCCAATCGCCAAGTGCTTCTTCCCACACCAAGAGTCCTTCGCTAGCAGCCCTACATCAGCCTGCTGCATCCAAGTACCAACTCTGGCCTTCTGCAAAAAGCCCAGTAGGATTGTCTAAGCCAAACCAATCTTCGGACAAGTTTGCCGCCCTTTCTGCTGGCCGATCTTCTACATCTCTTAGTGATACAGCCGTGCTGCCAGAGAGCAGTCTACCCTTTTGGCAGCGAACTGGATCCTTGTCAAGAAGAAGAAAAGTCAGTGTGCCCGAGCTTGGAAGCACTATGACTACTGTACAAGAGATGTCCATCGACTCCCGTAAGTTTCTCCTCAAATTCCACAATGTTCGAACGATTGCTTACAATGTCATCAGCGACCATCCCTGGGAGGCCACCCCTTCGTAAGCTCTCATACGAAGCTTTTGGCCATGAGAGATCGTGCAGTGCTCCGGGTACTAACTGGAGGACCGGACCTTTTGGGGATGCAATGATGGCTTGCGTAACAGGTCCTTCTCACGTTCCAGCTCAAATCATCAACGCCCCTCCTTCTTCTGATTTACCCAACGCCTCCGGAAGACCACTTTCTCCTATCCTTAGTCCTGGTGCAACACCCAGACCCTACCTCAAGGTCCAGACCGCCAGTATGGATGAAGAAACCCGTCCACAAGTACCACCTAAATCACCCGCTGTCGAGCGTAAAACTTCACCAGCCCCGCTGATCCTCAACTCGAAGACAAGTCGGCCACAAATGACAACTCCCGCCTCGACGACTTCGGGAGGTAACACACCATTGAGTGCGATGGACCTTCGAAGATCGCCCAATGGTAGTATCCCACTGCCTACTCCACCGTCGACTTTTACCAATCCTTTCTATGCATCCTCACCTGCATCCAACAGAGGTTCGCCACGCACCGAGAGGAGAGATCCTATCGCAACACAATCGTTAGCTCACAATCGAAACATGTCAGAGTCGTCGATCATGGAAAGAGGCCGACCTAAACGACGCAACAGCAAGAGAGAACGCAGCAGGACTGTATCAGAGGCCGACGGTGCAGAAGCTATCCCAGACTCTTGGAAGCTGCCCGAAGGCATGCGCGTATCAGAGGCTGCGAGACGAATGAGTGATGCCGACAAGAAGCTTCTTCACAAACAGGCATACGATCAGGCTGGCAATTTTGAGGTTCTGCACAAACGCGATGTAGCATCATTATCGAGAGTAAGCTCTTTACATCCTTGTCAAATCGACTAAAGCTGACATCGCTACAGGAACTCAGAGCTCTCGACGAGCGCTGCGATTACCTCCGAAAGACCTACAAGTCTTTGCGAGCGGGTCGCCAAAAGCTGCACGGTCGTATGATCGCTTATCTCAGGCGCGGAGAAACAGTCATCTTTTCACGCGAATCACTCCTCAAACAAGAAGAGGCCCTAGCCGAGCTGGACATTTCGATCGACGAGTTCATCCTGAAACTTGAGCAGGCCGAAAATCGCCGCTTGCGACTTCGGCAAAAGTTACTTGAGCATGTCGCTGCTGCTATCGTGCTCAACCCTAGCGCTCGGGACCAGGTAGCCGAAACTACACCACCACGAAGTCCTGTAAAGGTCGATAGCCCTTCTCGACATCAACGAAAAGAGACCGAGTCAATCAAAATTTACGCCGATGGCCACGTTCTAAATCTCTTCTCTGACATCGAGAAGGCCATCGGCAAGATGTGCGAACAGACATGCTAAGGGCCTCATGAGAAACACATGTTCTATTCCACCAACTTCGATACCCTCTTCCTTGCCTTTGACGGCCTATCATTAATTTCTACCTCTGGACATCTCACGACTTCATTTATTTGTACCATAACGACCTGAGCACACGCTCCTCTTACCGCTATCTCTTCTATCTTTCTGGACTGGCTCGACTTGACGTTTGTGTACACAAAGGAACGATTACATCATCGACATTCTGCTTTATCGTATACGTTGGCATCTATACCCAAGCTTTTGCCCATCCTTTCAGTTTTTTTCCAAGTATTCTTTTGCACATCAATACTTTCTCTTACATCACGATGTCAAAAATGGCGATGACCATGCCGGGGTGGCGTTTCATGTTTGGGCTTTGACAAGGGCAGGACGCTGTTGTGGCGTACCATGTATGTATCTAGATACCACCTGCAGGGGTGGATGAATCAAGAATGACATCTCAAGTCAAACGTTTCAGTCTTCTTCCAGTATTTCTTGTGGCACTGATCCTGCCCAGAACCAGACTCGAGACATCGTCATGCCTCGAGCACACGGCTTGAACCTGGTACGAGATATCACACTGACGACCCTGGTAGGTACGGCGCCCAGCTTCCTTCTTCTGGATAGGCCTGCGACAGCAACTGTCACGACGATAGTAAGTAATTTGCCCATAAGTACAGCGGAGCAAGCGGTACTTTGCGCGACAGGAATTGTGTATTCTAGAGCTCAAATTGTTTCATTGAACTACGTACCGCACGTGGCCAGGCTGGAGCCCTTGTGATAACATGGCCATTATAGTCTGTTTCAACGGGGGCATCGCAACGCCTTGAAAGGTGCCCAATGAAACGGAAATACGGTGGGGCAAGAACATGAGAGGGGACTTTGCCCAGAGTATCGTTTCTATAGGTTACCAGGGGGTCTATACGTGCTACGCGAGGCTGCACGCACATCCGCGCAGCAGTCATATCAATTTTCTTGATCCCACCCTTGTTTGATTGAACCAGCTTTTGCAGGTTTCGCGAGAAACATGGCAGCAAGAATTGAGGACCCGTCCGGAGATGGAGGACACGCCTAGAACACCCCGCGAGCTGGACACGGATCTCGGCCGCCGTCAAGTTTCAGAAGGCGACTAAATGACTGTTGGGTACATCCCAACACACGGCACGCATCGAGTATCCGACCTGAAAGACCAGATGTATATTTGCCGTTTAGCAGAGATGAGCTCTCTTTGAAGGCGCGAAAGTGGATTGTGGTCGAGATGCCGCAGATAAGTGTAATCGGTGGGGTCGGCTTGCTCTGCCGCGGTAGGACTATCCAGAGTCTTTGTGCCGGCGCCACCTTTCTCCGATCCTTCTCCGCACGGGCCGTTGCCCGCGTTTTTGCGCGAAAAAGTTCACTCTTTGGGCGACGACGTGACGAGTTTCAGAAATCGACATATTTCCCGCCATTACTCTCACCACCATGGCTACCAACAGCATCAAGTTACTGACCGGCAATAGCTATCCTGAGCTCGCAGCTCTAGTAGCTGATCGGTACGTTCAAGTTCTTACCTCTTGACGCTCTTTGAGGCTACGACTTGGCATGCACATGCCCAACGGTTGTCACGCCTTCATCACTACCACCACGCAACAGATATAGCTATCACCAGGCTTGCAAAGCTATAGAGCACATTTTTAGACGACCATATCATTTTTTCTTTTTCGAGAGTCAAAACAGGGTGCTCGACTGTCGCGCACCTGCTCGAGCAAGATCGCTAACGGAATCACAGACTTGGAATCGAGCTCACCAAGATCCTCGTGCTTCAATACTCGAACCAGGAGACTTCCGTGACTATCGGAGAGTCGGTCCGAGACGAAGATGGTATGCATCATCTTTCTCTGGGAGCGAGCACCAACGTGTCCGGCTTTCCTCAGCTTACCATAACGCAGTCTTCATCCTGCAATCTACGCCACCAGGCGATATCAACGATGCGCTCATGGAGCTGCTGATCATGATTAATGCGTGCAAAACGGCTTCTGCTCGCCGCATTACTGCTGTGATTCCAAACTTCCCTTATGCTCGCCAGGATAAAAAGGACAAGTCACGCGCGCCTATCACGGCAAAACTCATGGCAAACATGCTTCAAACTGCTGGTTGCAACCATGTCATCACGATGGACCTCCACGCCAGCCAGATTCAGGGCTTCTTCAATGTGCCTGTAGACAACCTCTACGCAGAACCGAGTACGCTCAGATGGATTCGTGAGAATCTGGACGTCAAGGACTGTGTTATTGTCAGCCCAGATGCAGGAGGTGCAAAGAGGTAAGATCACGCCACATACGTTCGCCAAACACTGGTTCGACTATCTGGTGCCGAGTGCGAGAGTGCGCAACCATGCAACGGTGCAAACTCAAGACCCTGAAGCGTTCCCTTGTGCCATGTTGGAGCGTCGGACTGCTCTCCGCACCACGGCTTCGAGAAGGTACTAGTGCTAATGCATTTTCAGGGCAACTTCGATAGCCGATGGCTTGAACCTTGGCTTTGCCCTCATTCACAAGGAGCGAACACGCCCGAATGAGGTTTCGCGAATGGTTCTGGTCGGAGATGTACGAGGCAAGACGGCCATCCTGGTCGACGACATGGCCGACACATGCGGAACGCTCGTTAAAGCGGCGGACGTGCTGATCTCCGAGGGTGCAAAGGATGCGCTCGCAATTGTCACACACGGCATCCTGAGTGGCAACGCCATCGAAGCTCTCAACGGCAGTAAACTCAAGAAGATTGTTGTCACCAATACCGTACCTCATGAGGATAAGAAGGAGCTGTGCGATCGTATCGAGACGATTGACATCAGTCCTACTGTACGTAACTCATGCCTTCGAAGATTGCCGCTCTAACAACAAACAGCTTGCCGAGGCCTGCAGGCGTACCCACAATGGCGAGAGTGTTAGTTTCCTCTTCAAGCACGCGCCTGTCGACTAAGGAAGACGCTACCGTTCTACCAACGGCAGTCCTTTAGCATATGAATTAACGGCGTCACGGGCGGTATAGGCGTTAGGATCAACATCACGATATGAACTATTCTTCACACGACAGACATGATGAGTCTATGAAGATCTGCAGATCGCCTTTCAGATCACGCAACTAGTAGTGAAGCCACTGCTGCAGCACGTGGCGTCGCACTAAGTGCATAAATTAAATTGCACGTTTCTATAACATCCTCTTCCCGCTAAAACGTATGGCAGGTGCGTCTAAACTAAATCCGCTGTCAGCCGGGTTTGACATGTTGGCGCCAAAGGACGCCATGGTGAGGCACTTGTCTAGTCCGTCACGTTGCGTGATGCGAGCTACCAGGTTAGTCTGCTTTTAGCCCGGAGCAGTTCAAACTTTATGTCATCGTCAAACTACATACTACCATCCGCAAGGAGGTTTCACGGCTTACAGGATCTCTGTGATCAGTACCCTGCATGTTGAGTACGAATGATTGATCGCCGCTAAATATCGCTTGCGGACGTCTAGTGGCACCATGCATACGCGACGTATTGGTCTGCATGGTGATAGTCACAGCATGCAGCCACAGTCAGCGCCCGCGAACTGACATCAAACGATGATCGACGAACTCGCGTAGGTGGGCATTCCGGGCTAGTGTTCTCCGACAAGTTTGCTCGCCTCCGCTACCTCCAGACGCTCCACATATCACAACGAGCATACCCGGACGGAGATCGTGCAATCAAGACTCGGCGGACTCCGTGAGCTCCACTTCCCACTACTCAGCGGTTTCCGTTCCCATAACTCGAGTCACATCATGAGTAATCACACTAGATTTTTCCGAGTCAAGATGCCTTTATTTCCTGAAGATCTCCTACGACTGCCGGAGCTATTCAGAGACCTCAAACCATCTTGGAGATCACGATTCTCACTTGAACCATTTTGATCTTCCGCTCCGACCCGATGCGTGACTAAGTTTATCTTGTGGGTTGACCGGAAAGGCGATCTGGGGACTTCCGAGAAAGATGGGCTTTTAAACTTTCAGGTTTCACGATGTCGGCCTTCATTGGCGCCGCATGTGCCGATGCCGAAGTTCAGCCACTGCGGTAGCATGTCTAGTGTGTGGCTGAAGAACTACGTGTAACCTGGGAAGCCACCGCTGCTTGTCTAGAAAAGGACAGATCCGAGCGATGCGGTGAAGTATGAGTTAGCTCGTAGCTATAAGTCTGCAAGCGGTTACAGAAGTAGACGACCGAGTTGTGCAACTATACTAAGCACACGATCATGGATCGTGATCAACATGTGAGTCTGAGAGAATTTTGTTCAATACGACATGAACGAGGAAACGAAAAGTTTGCCCATGAGCAGGAGATCGCCCCATCTATACGCCCTTTTACTCAGTCGATTGACTCCTGCACTTTATGCGATGCTTGCTTTCCAATTCACTATTTTCATACACATGCTTTCAGCTGAAGCTGATGTTTATGTCTAAAAACCCCCAAGCGCACCCCTCTGTATCCACGAAGGGAACTGCACGCCGCGCAGTCAAACAAGCTATAGTAATCCACTCCTCCTCCCCTCCTCCATACATGTCCGGGAAAGTTTTCGGCACCCCGAGCTGCCTCATAGATTTACATAGTCCGAGTCGTCGCATCATGTATTGTACCGTATGCATACAAACAAGTAAGCAGGCTTCAAAGGTCCAACGACCGAGCAAAGCACAAGGGTCCCGTATCAGCCATCGCTCGAGCGAAAATCAGCGTCAGAAGAAAGCTTCAGCGCAACGATCATATGCACATATCCCCAGCCCCCCATGTCTCGCATCGAACATCACTCCTTGCAAATGGTAAAACCCCGCGTCCAAAAACCAAAAGTATAAAACCCTCCTCCCAGCGGTCCGAAAACAAACCCTATGTTGCGCAATTCAGCTGTACGACACATCCCACTCCACCGGATAAAAAGGCCTCGTTACGAGTAACATTTCAAAATACTGGAAACTGGGCAAGGGTTCATGTACTGTGATACAAACAGCCTTGCGGTCCGAAAAGGTGAACTCTATCATGCGATTTGGACCCTGAGGCAAGATTCGGGTCTAGTCTAGATCTATATCAGATAACGGCCCGAATAGGCAAAGTTTATGGAGAGACTGGGAAGGTGACGCGCTTTTGGGGGCGTGCGGAGCACAGGTCGTGATTTGTAAATACTAAGCGAAGGGGTGGGGGTTCAAAGTCGGTGTGGTTTGATGTACGCCCAGAGCGTGCGACGCGGGAAGGTGAGGTAGTATCGCCAGTGGCTTGGCAGCTGATGTAGGATTTATCTTTGTGAAAAGTCTGGTTCTCGGACGCTCAAGATTTGGATAATTGGCGTGGTATTCTTTCCAGACATGTATGGTGCATAGACACTAGGATGATGGTCGGGTGAATGGTCAAACTATGGGTATTGGTGAGAAGCTATACGTTGAACCCACAATGTTTGCCAGTAGTTGTAGTAACGTTACGCTTTACAGATACGTGACCTTTTTAGGGGTTGCATCTGTGAGTTGATTCGCGCTGCAAACATGCACCAATTTGTGCGATCTGTCTCGTCCATTCAGTGACAGGAGTGGCATGCGTCTAGACGAGCAATTCATCGTTGGTCTACCTACACCATCTTCTTTATCTATTCGCAGGTATACGAAGAGGTAACTTGAGCTTCATTTGGTAAGTCTCAAAGAACTTCTGGTCGTATGCAGTGGATACAAAATATCTAGGCATACACTGTGGCCATTATCATACAGTACTACTCAACAGCATTTTGTTCATATCGCAGCACTAGCATGTTGATCACAGCAATCAAGCAACGGTGTATGTAGTAGTTATAGGAGATTTACATGCGCTCACAGTCCTCAAGCAGCTATGTTTTCAAAGCACTGCGCTATTCTTATCCGACTCTTGTCCGCCTCTTACCAACCTAGCTCACCAGCAAGAGCTTTAGCCAAAATTTCCGCCATCGCCGCATGCGTCGCCGCATTAGGATGATAGTCACAACCAACATCTGAACCTTGACTCGGGATATCCACTAGGCTGATGCTCGTGCTGTTTTGGAGTTGCGCAATAGCAGCATTCAGCGCGTTCTTCTGTGTAGTCTTCTGCGCATCTTGAGTGGAGGGATACCCGTCGTTGAGCATAGGCGAAGTCAGAAGGAAGAATGCAGCGTCTGGGTAGTGTTTCTGAATTGTCTTGACAAAGTTTACCATAGCGGCGGTGTACTCTGCTGGGACGATGGGATCCCGGATGCCAGTTTGGTAACCAAAGTCGTTGGTGCCGAGATTGATAACCACGGCGTCTGGTGTGGCGTTGCCGGGGAATGTGTAGCTATTCAAGGGGTCGAGAGCCCCGTACCGAGTCCAGCGCTGAGGCATAATGTCGCTGGTGTCTGGGGTTGGAGAGACGTAGTTCCTCGTCAGGCCGATGCCGCTCCAAGCGATGATGTCGTAGTCGGCATTCAACGCATCTGCGGCGAGGGCAGCATAGGTCTTGGGGTTGTTTTCAACTGCGGCGGTGTTCACGCATGGGTTCACGCCGTCGAGGCCATATCCCACAGTAATAGAGTCGCCAATGACCTGAATCTTACGAGAGGAGTACATGTCCGGACCGAATGTGCCATCCGTGGTGATGTTACCAACAGAGATGGTGCCGAAGAGAGCCTCAGATCGTTTACGCAATTCGACGGTGTGGTTGCCGTTCCGGAGGCCAGCGGGTGTTGTGATGGAGGTACCATTTACGTCCGGGATGACAGTCGCCACACCGTCGATGGTCAGCTGAGCACTGTTGGTACCAGTTGTAGCTTCGATTTCTATACTAGCCGATGAGCCTGTGAAAGTGAAGGATACGCCGGTTCCAGGCCATGTCAGTTCTCGAGTATCCGGATTAACGCGTCCGAGAAATCTTTCGGCAGTGACATGGTCGATAGCAGCCAGTAGTACAAACGGAGAGATGGTGAGCTTCATGACGATGGATAGTGAACGGGTGCGCAGTGCATCACGGAGATGCATCTACGGGCATATAAATACTATACAGCATTGTGGTTGAGCCTCCAATCTAACACGGAAGACCGTTCCTAGCTTCGTGCGAGTAGGAGTCAGTTCCGAAGCTACCTGGATCGTGGGTTCGGCATATATTACGTGCTGTATGGGAAAACCGGGGTAAGCTCTCAGCGGAGATCTTGTTCTTTCTACAGCCGCAACAATACGCCCTGTGGCAACACTATGATTGGCTAAGCGATACCTGTATGATGTAGTGCATGACACTAGAAGAATGCGTAGCTATAAACATTAAAACAATGCGGGGGTATAGTGGTGAGCGTATGGCAAGAAGAAGATTGTAATGACGATCGCGGATGAACTGACTGGTACACTAAGCTTGAACGAGAGTGGTGCGGGAGACATAATTTCCACGAACGAAGGCTGCTCTCATCCATTTGTCCGAAGACACGACTAACAAATGTGAAGACTAGAATATTGAGACAGCATGGGTGATGCAGGATCATAAGAGATGTCAAGATGGGTTGGAGATGGAACCTGATTGTGGGCAAGCGCAGAGCCATCTGCCACAACAGCAGGGAATTTTGAAGTCGGCCTCAACGATACATACTAACAGAGAGCTCTACAATCATGATTTCATGGCTGAGTTGTTGAAGTATTCTGATGAATATATCTTCTTCGATGCGAGCCTTGGCCACTCCTTCATCATGCTCCTGTTCATCACAAGGAAAGTAGAGACTTGAACAGTGAGTATGGTTTCTATAAGATGTGCGATGACGAATGAGATGGGCGGTCTCGAGGACGCTTCCCTTGATCTATTCTGCTAGAACATGATAATTGAGTACAATAATAGTGACAAGTCCTCTCCGTGGTATCATTCGCGCTCCGTTGACGCAGTGCAAACAAGGCGCTGTAACGCTGACAAGACGCCGCCGCAATGCATCGAGTCCAATTGCACCAAACTTTTGTGATGGTCTAATAAAGTGCAGGAATCAAAGAGATCTGAGATAAGATGGAGATAGAGGGCGAGCGCACTATGACGCCGTCGGCCTTTCTGGTATTTCATGTCGTTCGGGTTCGTATGTCGTCTCTCCTAAGGATTCCGTAGGTCCAGAGACAGAAGGTGCTGATGGAGCAGCAGCACTTGGGCCTCGAGATGCCGCTGCGTTCAATCGCGCATTCAGTGCTTCCAGAGCCAGAGCACGTCTCCTCTCTGCTTCTACACGGGTTGATCCACCGCGACCCCCCCTGCTGTTGGGGTTCATGATGCTTGGGAGACCTCCTTCGGCACGGGCGCTTGCCTGTTCATTGCCCGCATCGATGTCTCGATCTGAGAAGGGCGTACACACTTTGAGCGATACCAGTGCGTTGTAGATGCCGTCGGAAAGTGCGCCAACGGGTGTTTGTATGGGTTCCGGGAAAAAGTGAGCAAAGGAGAAGGTGTCTGAGGCGTCACCGCGGATGACGGATCCGTCGCCAGTCGCCGTGGACGATATTGATGGGCTTATGCGGTAGAAGCGAAGGTAGATCCAAGCAGTGAAGAAGCCGAAGTATGCCAGAAACATAGCCGTCTCAGTACCCAGTATCATGCCAGAGATTGTGTTGGCGAGGAGAAAGATGGCGGGAAAGTGCTTGACGCGCATGCGGATGAGGCCCTTGGCGATGGCAACGGTGTGTTCGGGGACGAGCTGCTTGAAGGAAACGAGAAAGCCAGCTTGGATGGCAATGCCGCCGGAGATTGTGGTATGTCTGGACGGCGTCAGTACAAAGTACAGGGAGGGGTATTGTCTACTCACAAGATGGAACCTTTGCTTGTGAGGAGGAAGCCAACCATGTAGAGCAAGTATGTGAGGACGTTGGGTATCATGGCCACGAAGAGCATGAACTTGGTGAACTCGTGTGACGCCCATGCTCTTTCCAAATAACGTCCGCCGTAGAAGACGGTGAGTGCGGTGGTGACGAGACCCAGGACATTCTGCTCCACGACCGTCGCCAATGCAAACACCCATGGATACCAAGGCACCGAATAACCAGGGACTATGGTGAGCCACGGCACGCCATTGCCCACGCCGATGATTGGCTTCTCGACCTTTTCCACCCAGTCGGCGTGTGGACGCAGTGCGAAGTTTATGAGCGTAAAGAATACGACGGCAGCGAGCACGCCCCGAGTCAGCGGGGGCAGGTTGATCCGGGCCATGGCGGGAGGTGAGAGGGCAGCCGGGAGAGGAGGAGAGGAGGAGGAGAGGAGGGTCGGCCCGGGGGATTCCAGACGGGTGGTGGAAGTGGAGAGGGTGAAGGAAGGCAGCTGGCAGGGATCAGCAGCGCTCGGACGGAGATCTGTGGGGACTAGCTCGAGTGCACAGTGCACAGTGCACGGTGCTCGAGCGCTGAGTAGTTGCAGTTCGCAGGGCAGGTAGCCTTCGATTCTCCGACAAGCTTCGAGACCACGACGGCCACGGATCGCGCAACCAAGACGCCCCGAACCCCAGCGTATACACCCTCTTCTCTCCACGGGCGCATGCAGCGCGTACAGGATGCGCCATGGCGGAGACTCTGAGCAGCAACGCGATGAACTATCTCGGTACCCTTTCCCCCCCTCCCATTCGACGACTCGATTGGCCTGGCCCTTCTGACTTGTGTGTGCAGTATGGCGATACCTTCAGGAGGCCGGCTTCGGTAACGCAGCCCTGCAACTCTCGCGATGCTGGATCCGCGACCCCGACACGCTTCCCTTTGCGAAGAACATCGAACCGCACACACTCATCAGGCTCGTGCAGGATGGCATGTGCTTCGACCAGCTACAGGCCGAGGCTTGCAATGTACGTCGCATACATGCGCTGCAGAGAGCAGTACTGACGGCCGCAGACGGAGCCGCGATACAGGTTCGGCACCGACCACGGACGACCATATTCGGCGCGCAATGGCAACCTCTTGACCCTCGACAAGGGCATACCCGCCCACCAACTCGCCGCCGAAGCCAACGGCGCCGTCCAGGAACCCCCACCAAAGAAGACGCTCAAGCGCAAGAAGACGAAGCCCACCAACGGCGTCGAGCCGCGCCCCGAGCCCCAGGTCAACGGCGATGCCATGGACATCGAGCACAACGGCGCCGCACATGTCACAAACAGCACGAGGGCCGAGTCGGAGCCCATGGTCTCGGAAGCAGAGTCGCCCTCGCTTGCTGACATCCCCATATCCACGCTTAGCATAGGCCAGGACGCTGAGATCCAGACCGAAGCCATTGCCATTGCTGATCTGAACTCCACCACCGTCTCCATCCCTCCGCCCTCGGATCCCGCACGAGTAATCGAGCATACCCTGTGGGGGCCAATAGAGTCTCCCGTACTGCTCGCAGCTGGCAAATCCCTCCTCCAGCTTCACGTCGTGAGCAAGGAGCTCGGCCATGAACCCCCTACCCAACATTTCGACATACCTCTGCCCGTCGACAACTTCAACGTCACAGCGCTGTGCTGGCACTCGGACAACGAACTTACCGTCTCTGTGCGAGAGCAGAGATCCAATGAAGTGGGGGAAAAGATGATGATGGACAAGCTCATCAAGCTTACCGAAGGCGGTCAGGCCTCCCAGGTCGTCTCTTCTACCGCCGGCCTCATCAACACGCTTCGCTGGAATCCGGTCCGGAATTTGCTGCTATCCATTTCGACAGATGGCGAAAAGGGCTCCATCAAGGTGTGGAAAAACGACAGCGACTCCATCCCAGCCTGGACAGAGTTCACCGACACAGCCATCTTCGACGCGCACTGGATAAGCGACTCAGCTTTTGTCGTTTGCGGTATCAAGCTCTTCAAGATCTACGAGGTCAATGAATCCTTGACAACCCAGCAAACTCTCGAGACCTCAGTAACATGGGAGACGGTAAAATATGACGCTGCATCTGGCATCATCGCTGTCTTGGGCATTGAGGATAGGAAGTATTATCTGGGCATTCTCCACCCCAACGATTCGCTGCAACTGCAGACCCATGAATATCCCGACGAATACCCTACCGATCTTGGCTTCCGCGTCAAAGCAAAGAACAATCATCTCACCAATGGCTCCGCTCTGCCCTCCGTCTTGCTTGCAACAAGCTCCATGTCTGGTGCGACGCGCATCTGGAATGCCGACGAACCATTCAAATGCGTCAAATATCTGCCTACCACAGATGGCACACAAGCCTTCAAAACTGCATTTTCCCCAGACGGTTCGCTCTTAGCAGCTGCGGGACCTGATGCTGTCACCATATGGGATATAGAAAAAAGAGATGTCCCAATAGCCTCGTGGCGAGCCAGTGAAACTCCAAGCGACAAATGGAATCCTGGTATAGACGGAGAGTTCAGTCTTGGTTGGGAGCCAGACAGCTCCAGGCTATCCATTGCACTCGGAAATCAGGTATGACCACCCAGCTCAAGAAATACTCATCTACTGACCTCGACACAGATTGCCATCATCACGGTTCCAAGGTAGTGCCAGGGGTCGTCCTTCGAACGGAATCACTTCGTTGTGCAGCGCGTCGCAAAACATTGTGGACCCTCACAGGGTCGCTGCGGCATCGTGCAGGAAGAAGGAAAAACATGTCGGGTCGATTGCGCAGGCGATTGCGGGGGCATTCCGCGCATGCAAGATCGCAAAGAGCGCGAGGCGGGACGCATGTGGAGTCCGGGGTGGCGCCTCCGTCAGATGCGGAGACCTTCGCGCCCTGATAGGCTAAATCTTTCAGTCAAGTCGTCTACCGTGTGTTGAACCCGGCCTTTAGCCTGGTCCACATCTTGACGTCTCGCTAGCGATGGGCCCATTGCTTCGGCAATTGCACCTCACGGCCAACCTTGACGATGGGCGAGGGGCATAGTCAGCGGCGTCCGTAACTATGACGGTTCGCTGTCGCCCTTATGTGACCGATGTCTTCTAATCCTTTCTCTGTCCTACTGTACACTACCCACGTCGGAGAGTGTAGCCTCTAAATAAACCTTAAGCATTGGATAGGTGTCGTGCGACAGATCTTGCTGTGCAACTCTCTCTTTCCTATTGACCATGTCGGCTATTCCTAATCTTCCTATCGACACGCCCGGCATCCACACCAACGGCGGTGCGAATGGTGTTGCTGCAGACTCGTCTTTCAAGCTCAATGATGCGCCGGTAGAGAATCTTCGACGTTTGAAAGTTGTCGTCATTGGGGCCGGCTATTCTGGTATCTACTGTGGGATCCGTATACCAGAAAGACTGAGAAATGTCGACCTGGTAATCTATGAAAAGAACGCTGGCGTTGGGGGGACTTGGTACGAAAACAGGTAAGAAACACCCATCTCACAACTCTTGGTGCGCTAGTATCACAACTACATCAGCGATGTCAGTATTGGTTTCGGGTGATCCTGTTGTAGATACATCGCTTGGTCTTTGGTTGTCTCCATTTTGCACAGTGCTTACTGACCTGATTGCAGATACCTTGGTTGCGCTTGCGACGTCCCTTGTAAGCATCGGGTCCCACATTTACCAATGCATACGCTGCTAACTACCCCTAGCACACTCTTACCAGTATTCGTTCCAGCCGAACCCAAACTGGTCGTCGCTTTACGCCCCGGCAGCGGAAATCCAGTCGTACCTCCAAGATGTCGCGCAGAAATTTTCCGCGGACAGGTTTATCAAGTTGCGTCACCAGATTGAGGCATGCCACTGGGATGACAAAACTGCGAAGTGGAACATCACAGTAAAGAATCTTGCCACAGGAGAAGTGCTGGAAGATCAGGCGGACGTTGTTATCTCAGGGAGAGGTAATCTGAATACACCTTCGTGGCCTGAGATAGACGGCCTGAAAACATTCAAGGGCGAAGTCATGCATTCTGCAGTCTGGAACCAGAGGTATTGCGCATTCCCACAGTGCGTCTTGAGTAGCAGATTGACTGAATTGGTTTATAGGTACGACTTCGAAAACAAACGAGTTGGTGTTATTGGCTCCGGCTCTTCTTCAATCCAGATCGTCCCTTCGCTACAGCGTCTACCAGGTACCCACATCAGCACCTTTGTGCGTAGCAAGACGTGGATATCACCTCCTTTCGGCCAGGACTTATTCGACAAATACGGTTTCAATGGCTCAGCAATTCCCCAAGAGCTCCGCGATCGTTTTGCGAATGACCCCGAGTACTACTACAAGTTCAGGCTTTCAGTCGAAGAGGATGGAAATGGTATCCACGCTGTCACGATGAAGGGAACTGAACTGCAACTCGGCGCAAAGGATATGTTCCACAAGCACATGAAAGAAAGACTAAAGAGCAAGCCGGAAATCTTCGAAGCCCTCTTACCGTCATTCTCACCAGGATGTCGCCGTTTGACGCCAGGCCCGGGCTACCTAGAAGCACTGACGCAGCCCAATGTAGACTTTGTTACATCACCTATAACGCGCATATCCGAATCTGCGATTCACACTGTTGACGGTAAGACGCATGAGATTGACGCTCTTGTGTGTGCGACAGGCTTCAAAGCATCTGCCCCACCTCCGTTTCCGTTGACCGGCAGCAAGGGGCTATCTCTCACGGAGAAGTGGGACAAGCGCGCTGTCAACTATCTCTCGCACTCTGTTGCCGGCTTTCCAAATATGTTCACGATGCTTGGCCCCAACGCTGCCATCGGCTCTGGTAGTCTAACTACCATGATCGAAACAGTAGGCGACTACATCATCAAAGCCATCCGCAAGATCCAAAAGGACAATATTGCAGCCATGACGGTCAAAGAGGCGCGCGAAAAGGACTTCATAGAGTATGTTGATGCATACTTCCAAGGCACAGTCTTCGCCGATGAGTGCAGGAGTTGGTACAAGAACAAGGGTACTGGGGAGGTCGTCGGACTTTGGCCCGGTAGTACACTACACTGCGTTGAAGCAATGCGGAGTCCGCGCTGGGAAGATTTCGACTACGTCTACCTGGATGAACTAGAGGGCCAAGACGCTAACAACGACCTACATGGTGTGGGTAAGAAAGCGAACAGAATGGCTTGGCTAGGTAATGGATGGAGTATCGCTCAGATGGAAGAAAGGGATCTTGCCTGGTATCTGTACCCGGAATTTTTGGATAAGCCTCTTGCACCACTACCGGAGAAGAAGAGCGGTTATAATGTAAGACCGTTTTCATATTGATAAGAGCAGGAGCAAGGATAGTGTGAGTTACATAGCTATCGTTAACGTCTTTCTATTACCAATTAGCACAACAGCACAATGCACATAAGCTCTGGAAACATCTTAGCGTACATCTTATATGCTATGACAAGGCTAGCCAATTACCTGGTCCCAACCTCATCTATGTGCCCCAAGCTCACGCAATATTAAGACTAAGATGATGCTGCGGACTGCAAAGTATTGTTTCTTCCCGTCCGTCAACCTAATTCTACTTTTCATCTCTTCGTATATGGAATAGATCTTGAACATAGCTCGAAAAGCACACAAGGCTGAGAACGCCTGGGGCTTTGCCAAGTCTGCGTGGCTGGAGCGAAGATACAGAAAGCATGTATCATTGGGTAGGATCAGAGTCCCGACCTCGGATGGATCATCTGTGGCATTTCGGTGCGTCTGTTGGGGGGCCGACCCCTCGTATCATAGACCTTTGCAGCAATGATCAAGACGCCTAGGATCACCTATAGCTTGCTGAGCTCCTGTGCTACTTGAGCCTTTTTGCATCTTTCATCTCATCTTGAATCACTTTGCCAACCAAAGACAATATATCATCATGCTGTCTGTCATATTCCTACATTTGTGGCTCACGTGTCTTTTGACAGTAGTCACACGTACCTCCGCGCAAGACGAGGTCGGATGCACAGGCAACAGCAGCACCTACAATGATGCTGGCTTGGTGGTTCCATTTCAAAACCTCTGCGGCAAAGACATAGGCGCCGTAGTCGACTTCCTGGATCCGACGGACGAACAGACTTGGTACGATTGCATGACTCGCTGCGTCAAGAAAGAGCCGCTATGTTACGGATACGATTTCAGACCTTTCGGCGACGTCAACAAAAACTGCTGGCTCATGAACGCTACGTTCGACGCTGACACGGCGGTGTATCCTGGCTACGTGGTTGATGCCGCCATGTTGGGGCCTGACCTCTTGAACGAGCTGTCTGATGACTGTTTAACGTTAGGATTGTGGGGTTGCTTTCTCAAGAATGGTGGAATACAGAACGAGACGACATCTACATCGCCAGCTGCAAGCTCGACGACTTCTGTGACCTCGACGCCTTCCGCTTCCTCTATCACGAACGCGGCTCCTTCCAAATCTAACGGTCTTTCTGCCAGCGCCAAAGGCGGTATAGTGGCTGGTATCGTGGCTGTTACGGTGATGCTAGTAGGCTCGCTCGTCGCCTTTGTTGTTGTCCGGAAACGAAAACAAAGAGTGCGGCATGCCCCTGATGCGAGTGCTGCGGAAGTCTCAGCTCAGAACCAAAGGATAGAATTGCTAGCACATAAGGGTTCATACAGCACTGCAGAGCTTGCGAGCCCAGATTCTGTACACGAACTTGGTGGGTCTGGGCCTGACAAGTTGCCTGTAGCGATGGGGGAGCTTATGGGAAGTTCGCCAGAGCGGCATGAGTTAAGTGGCACTGAGAAGCGCTAGAACATATATGGTTTAGATCAAGAATGCATCCTTTCCAGAACCGTTTCCCTCTGTCGCTTTCCCGTAAAGGACAACATGTGAGACCAGCAATATAAAAACCCTTTGCAAGAGCAACCCTTATGGAGGCTGTGCAGACAAGGCTGCGCATCGTTCTCCACATTGCGTCCAGACATGGCCCCCAAATCTCGCCCTAGCGTAACATGATCGCCGTTTCTTTGCCTTTACACTGGTGCTTACTTGCCTTCATACTATGCCATCCCAACAGCGTTGCACTTGCGGCAAAACGTTCGCAAATTACACGTGGGACTAATGCGACAGTAAGCAACAAAGGTGTGTGTGCTTGTTGAAAGGATCGGTGTTTCGCTCGTTGTTGTTGTTGCTGCTGCAGTGCGTGAGGCGGAGCTTGTAGGATGCACAGTGCGGCTGAGCTGGAAGCCTGATGGGTGAGCCCTGGGGATCGCCTTATTGTATGGTGGCCTCGGGGCTGAACGAGATTTGTAGGTTTCTGCTATTTTCCCTTCTTTTCTACCTTCTCGTGGTTTCAGTCAAGCCTTGGTTGTCGGGCTTGGATTCCTGTGAAGATGGTGCTCCACTCGTTCCTGGATCCAAGAGTTCCTGGATTTGGAATGCAGATGACACCGACATGTCGGGAAGACGATGGATGTTTCGCGTTTCCTACACCTACCTCACAAGGGGAAGTCAATGGTATTTCGTCGACATGGACGCCGCAAGAATCACAGCTAGATCCCCAAGGAGTAGACGAAAACCAAGGTCCATTGTCAACTCCTGTCAATGGCGTCCTCGAGCCTAGCAACACACAATCCGTCGATCCCAACCTTTTTCAACCTGATCTTACTAGCATCGCGACTACGGTAACAGACAACGCGGGATCTACCATGACTATGAAGACAACGATCAATGTTACAGTACCACCGAGTTTGAGTGCCACAGTCAGTACATCAACGTCAATAACGCCAGATCCAGGTCCAGCAACTGTTGGAACCGTGGAAGCCGCGGAGAGTGGCCACAACACCAACAGACTCAGCGCCGGAGAAGTGACCGGTGTCGCTATGGGAACCTTCATCCTCGGCGCAATCCTGGCGTTTATCGCTGCATTCTTCCTGTTTAAGCAAAGAAACAAGCACAAAAGTGCCAACGTCAACAGGAAGGATTATCCAAGCTATGGCGACTCTGCGCCCGATCTAGCTATGATGCAATCCAAGAGTGCCAGCAGTCTAGTAGGGCGACATAGTCCCTACGTACAGGTTTCGCAAATACCCCTGCCAGCGCCGCTGGCTGCTCACCCACCTTCTCCAATCCCTGCCCCTGTTTTCATACCAGCAAGTGCGTCTCGAGATATCACTGCTTTCTTACCACCTGCGGCAGACAACGAAGAGGTGTGGAACGAAGTCTCTCATTTGTTCGCCTTGATGCATGAGCATGTAGAAAAGTATTACCGAGACGTCAATGCCATTATTACCCCGAGTATGGAACCTGAGATTGCCGAGTTTGGAGCCAAGGAGGTGGACATGGCAGAACTTCTGCAAGAATGTACAAGTTCAACAGCGGCGCTGAAGCATGCCCTCGTAACATATGTACTGGGTATAACGGAGCCGAGGCAGAAAGACGACGATGAAGGGACATTGTTTCCCAAAGAGCTTTACACAGCGCATGCTGAGAATCGTATGAATGTTGTCTCTGGTAAGCTCCTTATATGCATCTTTCACTTGAGAAGGATTGCAACTAACACCACAGATAGATCCGGATCTCGTAGCAGCTACCTCGCTGCATCGCCGCATCTCTGTCTATCTCTACAGCAACATCACTGGCATGCCAAATCGTCGCAGATCTTGGACGGCTCAATCGAACGTTCGTGAAGCAGCGGAACACTTCTCTCTTACTTTCTTCCCGTGGGCCAACCCTACGTCCAGCGACCAAGACAAAGATGAAGATCTTGCACGCATCATCACAGACACACTGACGATGAGGATATGGCTCTTCGGGCAGTTGGACACCTATGACTTTGAGTGGGAGGGAGTTGGTGAGAGAGGTATCGTCATCAACCCGAGTTTGTTGAAGCGGAAACGTCAAGAGGGTGACGGCGATGATTCAATATTTCAGCTGGTGGAAGGCGCCGTTGTTGCTATGTAGACCGAATGAGATGTGTTCTCATTTTTGCGATTGAGTCCTCTAAGTAGTCTTATTAGACGCGAAACGCGAATCATCGATCGCAATTGAAATGCCCTACGCTGTCCTGTGGGGCTCCACCCAGCTAACATATCTCCGTCAATCACCATTGGCTACTTCATACTACAGTGTGCCCAGAAACTGCCAATGCGCATGGCATAGACCCATACGGTATGCCGGTCGCTATGACGACGGACGTATGGATGCCAAGTTGTGTATGGGTGGGCTCATTGCGATTGCGGTGTTGATCGCATATCTCACGCTACGGCAAACTACCATGAAGAACCGAAGAACGGTACAAGTATGCGCTCAGGAGCACATCCTAGAGCGCGTCTACGTGATGTCCTAACCGAGGTGTTGCATATTACTCACGAGGACGATGAAAGCTTAGCGCGAACCGCACACGTTCTGCACCCGCACAGCTAACTCGGGTGGTTTTCCAGCATGCCATGTCCAAGGAGTTCCACTATAAAGGACAGCTAGTACAGTGTAAAGCAAGCGTGAACAGATATGGCGACCAGCCCAGCGGTAACAATTGCCGGGGCCTCGGATGGGCCCTCTTCCCCACGCCCGAAAGCTGATGCTTGCAGGCGTCGCGTGGTCAGGCCATCCGCTGGAGAGAAAAGCGTGCGATCAACTCTAAAATTTTCCAGATGTGTACAAACTGTAGTCTTGACAGTCCAGTCATACCAGGTGTTTGCGGCTTGTGTGGTGTCATACCAAGCGCTTCGTAGGAGCGTTCGGCATCTTTGGGGCCGAGCTGTACCTAGGTAGCTTGCTGAGAGCTCTTCGATATTGATGACACTGTTGCAAGTCGCGCTATAGACCCAACGCGCTAGTTGGAATTTGATCAATTGCGCCTGCCCGAAGGCTAACGTTCGGTCGCGAAGTTGCGGGCCGGTTGCCTTCCTCAGGGTCGTACACATATGGTGATGGCGAAGACGTGCCCGCACTGATCAACCAACACGTTGCTGCACTCATTTACAGAAAGTGATACAGGGCATTTTGGACATCGCCAATTATCGACAGTCTAACAAATTGACGGCCAGATCGGCACAACAGTACCCTCTGACTGGCGTGCTCTGCTAGTGATCCGGAGAAACGGAGAGCATCACAAGATGCTATCCGTATTGGATCATGGTGCCGCCCACGGAAGGAGTGTGGGCCCAGACAGAGGCCAGCATTGGGATGAGCGTCATATTCCAGTCCCCGCAGCGAAGGCACGCGAGGGGTAGGGCAACATAGCCATCGGCCTGCCAAAGCAGCTGCTCATAAGAGTGCCGTTCGCCCATCTAGCTATTTTGCATTACAAACCCTTCCCTTCCCGCTTCACGCCAACCGCCTCGCCTCGACCCCGGCTCTCTAATACAAACACGAAGCTCCACTTGGACTGACAAGCTGTTCCCCGAATCTTCAGCGAGCAGCTTCAATTTGGCCCCTGCGGCAACCAAGCGTACCGCCGACCCCTTTACCCGGAATTGAGACATATATCTATTCTAGACGTCCGTCGGCCTCTGTCCCGCGTCTTGCCAAACTACGTTTCTACGTTGGCAAAGCTCCTAGACTGTCCTCGTCGCGAAATTCCAGCGCGCCGAAGCCGAGCTCCTTTGCCCCGCCAGACGGCTAGTCCACATCCACAGAAGCAACATGTCCGAAGGAGACGTCAAGCCGCCCAGTGCGCCCGTCGTGGCCGAAGCCCACCAGGTGGACACTTTCCACGTTCCCAAGGCGTTTTACGAGTGAGTTTCTACTGTTTATTTGGTTATTACATCATGTACCAAGACAATGACAGCTGCGGCGTCATCCAAGCTCCAGAGCTCGCGCGAATGGGCGGGGTGACCCCGCGCCGCCGAGCTTTTGGCCGAAGCATCCATCGCGATCGCATCCAGACGAGGCACCCAGCTAACGCGTGCACTACAGCAAGCACCCGCACTCGAAACCGCATCTTGAGAACCTTGAAGAGTACCAGAAGCTGTACAAGGAGTCCATCACCGACCCAAAAGCCTTCTGGGGCCGACTAGCGCGCGAATTGCTCACGTGGGAACGCGACTTCCAAACCGTACAATCGGGTTCATTCGAACATGGCGATGTCGCGTGGTTTTTGGAGGGCAGACTAAATGCCAGCTACAACTGTGTCGACCGCCATGCCTTCAAAGACCCCAACAGGCCTGCCATCATCTACGAGGCCGACGACGCTGGCGATGGCCGCATCATCACATACGGAGAGCTTCTCCGCCAGGTCTCGAAGCTGGCCTACACACTCAAGGAGATGGGCGTAAGAAAGGGCGATACTGTCGCTCTTTACCTGCCTATGATTCCCGAGGCAGTCATCTCCTTCTTAGCTTGCACGCGTATCGGCGCGGTTCACTCAGTCGTCTTTGCAGGTTTCTCGTCTGATTCGCTACGTGACCGCATCATCGATGCCGAGTGCAAGGTCGTCATTACTACCGACGAGGGCAAGCGTGGTGGCAAGACCATCAGCACAAAGAAGATTGTCGACGATGCTCTCAAGCAATGTCCTGGCATCAGTCACTGTCTGGTCTACAAGCGCACTGGCGCTGAGGTGCCCTGGACCAAGGGCCGCGACTGGTGGTGGCACGAGGAGGTGGAGAAATACCCCAACTATATTGCGCCGGAGCCGATGAACTCGGAAGACCCTCTGTTCTTGCTTTACACTTCTGGTTCAACCGGCAAGCCTAAGGGTGTCATGCACACAACCGGAGGCTACCTCCTTGGAGCAGCGGCAACCGGAAAGTACGTCTTCGACATCCACGACAACGATGTCTTCTTCTGCGGCGGTGATGTAGGTTGGATCACAGGTCACACCTACGTCGTATACGCACCTCTGTTGCTCGGTGTGGCTACCGTTGTCTTCGAAGGCACGCCTGCCTACCCCAACTTCTCGCGCTACTGGGACATTGTCGACAAGTACAACGTCAGCCAGTTCTACGTCGCTCCCACTGCGCTGCGGCTGCTCAAGCGTGCTGGCAACGAGCACGTCAAGCACCAGATGAAGAACCTCAGGATTCTTGGATCCGTCGGTGAGCCAATTGCTGCTGAGGTCTGGAAGTGGTACTTTGAGACTGTCGGAAAGGAGGAGGCACATGTTGTAGATGTAAGTCGTGGTCGAATACCCTCGTGGATGTGTTGCTGACTGAGATAGACGTACTGGCAAACCGAGACTGGCTCGCATGTCATCTCGCCTATGGGTGGTATCACACCCACGAAGCCCGGATCCGCGTCCCTGCCATTCTTTGGCATTGAACCCGCGATCATCGACCCGGTATCTGGCGACGAGATTCACGGAAATGATGTTGAGGGTGTACTGGCCTTTAAGCAGCCGTGGCCCAGCATGGCCCGCACAGTCTGGGGAGCACACAAGCGATACATGGACACATACCTGAATGTATACCAGGGCTACTACGTAAGTTTGAGGAAGTTGATGATTGAAATGTATAGGTCTGACATGTGCAGTTCACTGGAGACGGCGCCGGACGTGACCACGAGGGCTACTACTGGATCCGGGGCCGTGTCGACGATGTCGTCAACGTGTCGGGCCACAGGCTGTCTACTGCTGAGATTGAAGCCGCGCTTATTGAGCACCGTACGTTGTTATCTCTCTAAAGTCCGATATGCAAATTGCTGACTGCTGCGTAGACCAAGTGGCTGAGGCTGCAGTGGTGGGGATCAATGACGAACTGACGGGCCAAGCTGTCAACGCTTTTGTAGCGCTGAAAGACGGCACAGAGTCAAGTGACCAGGTAAAGAAGGACTTGGTAATGCAAGTGCGCAAGTCGATTGGACCGTTTGCGGCACCAAAGGCGATTTTTGTGGTTCCAGATCTGCCAAAGACACGGTCCGGCAAGATCATGCGCCGTATCATGCGGAAGATCTTGGCAGGCGAAGAGGACCAGTTGGGGGATATCACGACAGTAAGTGAAATTTGTTTAGATTTTCCGTTGGCGATGAAGATTACGCGTACTCTGTGGGATGGAGTTGGCTGACTGCCCCGACAGCTTTCGGATCCGTCGGTTGTTGATAAGATCATCGACATTGTGCACCAGTCCAAGAAGAAATAAACGGCTCTGCTTGGCTCGGATTGAAGTGGTTGCTATGGTAAGCAAGCAGGCGAAGCTCCTCTAGTCTGGCGGGGGCGGACGGCTTCAGTGGTTCTTGGAGGATGACAAGTGCCGAGCAATGGCGGTTCTATAGTGAGACGCAGTCAGTATGCGCGCTGAGGCACGACCATGCTGTGTTTGTTTGGGCGGCCGCTGTACGCCCATCTATGTTTAGTGCGAATATCCAGACGATAGGTTCTACGTTCACTCGCCATTTTGTGCGTCGGTTTGTGCCTGCGTGGAGCAACGTGTGGACAAACGCGCGAATGACGGCGCAACGGCGTATACAGATACGAGGAGCAAATGCACGGCGGAGACGGTGCAGGGGAGAGATCTGATAGTTTCATTCGTGTCGCGCCCAGACCCCCCTCCTCTTCCGCGAGCCGGGCGCCAAGATGGTGGCTGGCAGGGGCTGTGCAGACGATTACGACTCTCTATTGTCGCTCGCCATCGTTGACACGCCGTATAGCCTTTTGCCTCTGCTAGCGTTTCTTCTGTATACACGTACTTTTGCCTACCCATGTCTCTCGTTGCGTTGTCCTAGTTTTCGCTTTCCACCCCAAATACACCTTCTCCCTGAGCGGAGAGGCACCGCCACCCGAGAATGCGCATCTTCGGCACCTTAAGGGCCGCCATCACCATCGGCCTTGCCACCATAACAGCCGCCTCGTCCCACGCCCGCCCGCCGCTGCGAAGCATCGCGCTTGTCAAGAATGCCGACATCCTCACACAGACACACCGCGTGACTGCCGTATCGACCTTCGACCTTGCCTTTGACGTCTCCGGGCAGCGCATCCGCCTCAGCCTCGAGCCCAACCACGACCTTTTCGTCGATGGCGGCCAAAT